TACATATAGAGAGTTACACAGGGAGATACATATACAGTTGTCCACTATCAGTGTGTAACTATTGATACATATAGAGGGTTACACAGGGAGATACATATAGAAGGTTACACATGGAGATACATATACAGTTGTCGACTATCCGTGTGTAACTATTGATACATATAGAGGGTTACACAGGGAGATACATATACAGTTGTCCACTATCCGTGTGTAACTATTGATACATATAGAGTGTTACACAGAGAGATACATATACAGTTGTCCACTATCCGTGTGTAACTATTGATACATATAGAGAGTTACACAGGGAGATACATATACAGTTGTCCACTATCAGTGTGTAACTATTGATACATATAGAGGGTTACACAGGGAGATACATATAGAAGGTTACACATGGAGATACATATACAATTGTCGACTATCCGTGTGTAACTATTGATACATATAGAGGGTTACACAGGGAGATACATATACAGTTGTCCACTATCCGTGTGTAACTATTGATACATATAGAGTGTTACACAGAGAGATACATATACAGTTGTCCACTATCCGTGTGTAACTATTGATACATATAGAGAGTTACACAGGGAGATACATATACAGTTGTCCACTATCCGTGTGTAACTATTGATACATATAGAGGGTTACACAGGGAGATACATATAGAAGGTTACACATGGAGATACATATACAGTTGTCCACTATCTGTGTGTTACTATTGATACATATAGAGGGTTACACAGGGAGATACATATACAGTTGTCGACTATCCGTGTGTAACTATTGATACATGTTGAGGGTTACACAGGGAGATACATATACAGTTGTACACTATCCGTTTGTGACTATTGATACATATAGAGTGTTACACAGAGAGATACATATACAGTTGTGGACTATCCGTGTGTAACTATTGATACATATAGAGGGTTACACACAGAGATACATATACAGTTGTCCACTTTCCGTGTGTAACTATTGATACATATAGAGGGTTACACAGGGAGATACATATACAGTTGTACACTATCCGTGTGTAACTATTGATACATGTAGAGGGCTACACAGGGAGATACATATACAGTTGTCGACTATCCGCGTGTAACTATTGATACATATAGAGGGTTACACAGGGAGATACATATACAGTTGTACACTATCCGTGTGTGACTATTGATACATATAGAGGGTTACACAGGGAGATACATATAGAGGGTTACACAGGGAGATACATATAGAGGGTTACACAGGGAGATACATATACAGTTGTCCACTATCCGTGTGTAACTATTGATACATTTAGAGGGTTACACAGAGAGATACATATACAGTTGTCCACTATCCGTGTGTAACTATTGATACATATAGAGGGTTACACAGGGAGATACATATACAGTTGTCCACTATCCGTGTGTAACTATTGATACATGTAGAGGGTTACACAGGAAGATACATATACAGTTGTCGACTATCCGTGTGTAACTATTGAAACATGTAGTGGGTTACACAGGGAGATACATATACAGTTGTCCACTATCCGTGTGTAACTATTGATACATATAGAGGGTTACACAGAGAGATGCATATACAGTTGTCCACTATCCGTGTGTAACTATTGATACATAAAGAGGGTTACACAGGGAGATACATATACAGTTGTCCACTATCCGTGTGTAACTATTGATACATATAGAGGGTTACACAGGAAGATACATATACAGTTGTCCACTATCCGTGTGTAACTATTGATACATATAGAGGGTTACACAGGGAGATACATATACAGTTGTCCACTATCCATGTGTAACTATTGATACATATAGAGGGTTACACAGGGATATACATATACAGTTGTCCACTATCCGTGTGTAACTATTGATACATATAGAGGGTTACACAGGAAGATGCATATACAGTTGTCCACTATCCGTGTGTAACTATTGATTCATGTAGAGGGTTACACTGGGAGATACATATACAGTTGTCCACTATCCGTGTGTAACTATTGATACATATAGAGGGTTACACAGAGAGATGCATATACAGTTGTCCACTATCCGTGTGTAACTATTGATACATGTAGAGGGTTACACAGGAAGATACATATACAGTTGTCCACTATCCGTGTGTAACTATTGATACATGTAGAGGGTTACACAGGGAGATACATATACAGTTGTCCACTATCCGTGTGTAACTATTGATACATGTAGAGGGTTACACAGGGAGATACATATACAGTTGTCCACTATCCGTGTGTAACTATTGATACATGTAGAGTGTTACACAGGGAGATACATATACAGTTGTCCACTATCGGTGTGTAACTATTGATACATATAGAGGGTTACACAGGGAGATACATATACAGTTGTCCACTATCCGTGTGTAACTATTGATACATACACAGGGTTACACAGGGAGATACATATACAGTTGTCTACTATCCGTGTGTAACTATTGATACATATAGAGTGTTACACAGGGAGATACATATACAGTTGTCCACTATCCGTGTGTAACTATTGATACATATAGAGGGTTACACAGGGAGATACATATACAGTTGTCCACTATCCGTGTGTAACTATTGATACATATAGAGTGTTACACAGGGAGATACATATACAGTTGTCCACTATCCGTGTGTAACGAAATTCATACATATAAAGGGTTACACAGGGAGATACATATTCAGATGTCCACTATCCGTGTGTGACTATTGAATATTGTAGAAACCGCATTAGCTCATCTCTTGCTGGAATGTGTGTCTCGGTATTAAATTTCCAATCCCGACAAACCCTGTTTTTTATAGACACAATCACAGCAGAAAGTATCATGTAGCGCCAGCTGCTTGTCTCGGCTAATATTCATGCCGTAACTGTCATGTACAAGGATAAAACCTCAGTACTACAGAACAGCCTCGATGTTCTGACACACCGACAAAATAACTTTAGTGCTAGGATGATGTGGGGAGGGACATTTACGTCATTGAAACTATACCACATCGCCAACTGTAACACCTCCAAAAACAGTATAGATCTAAACACATGACACGCACCTGTAATTATCTAAGCCGTTGTGTAGGGTGAAGTGAAGATAGTGGGTGGGGTCAGCTGTTGTGTAGGATGAAGTGGAGATAGTGGGCGGGGTCAGCTGTTGTGCAGGATGGAGTGGAGATAGTGGGTGGGGGTCAGCTGTTGTGTAGGATGGAGTGGAGATAGTGGGTGGGGGTCAGCTGTTGTGTAGGATGGGGTGGAGATAGTGGGTGGGGGTCAGCTGTTGTGTAGGACGGAGTGGGAGATAGTGGGTGGGGGTCAGCTGTTGTATAGGATGGAGTGGAGATAGTGGGTGGGGGTCAGCTGTTGTGTAGGAAGGAGTGGAGATAGTGGGTGGGGGTCAGCTGTTGTGTAGGATGGAGTGGAGATAGTGGGTGGGGGGTTAGCTGTTGTGTAGGACGGAGTGGAGATAGTGGGTGGGGGGGTGTCAGCTGTTGTGTAGGACGGAGTGGAGATAGTGGGTGGGGGTCAGCTGTTGTGTAGGACGGAGTGGAGATAGTGGGTGGGGGTCAGCTGTTGTGTAGGATGGAGTGGAGATAGTGGGTGGGGGTTAGCTGTTGTGTAGGACGGAGTGGAGATAGTGGGTGGGGGTCAGCTGTTGTGTAGGACGGAGTGGAGATAGTGGGTGGGGGTCAGCTGTTGTGTAGGACGGAGTGGAGATAGTGGGCGAGGGTCAGCTGTTGTGTAGGATGGGGTGGAGATAGTTGCTGCACACTCTCACATTGACTGATAATTAATAACGGACTTGTAAACGCCCAAAGAAGATGCTTCAAGTAATACATAACAAAAAAGTAGAGACACCTGTTTTGTGTGAGTGAAACAGATTCTAATTCATATGGGATATACGAGAACGTGGGGAGCATCGTAAGTGACCGCGCACGCGTGACCAGTCATAGCATACATGTAGTTACAGACAGCAGTCGAGGTCAATGCCGTGCTGACTAACTAGGACTTACAGTACGACGAATCTAGAATACTGAAGCTCTAGATTACTGGATTCAGGTGCAGCTCAGGTGCACAACTTCTCCAGCCCGCACCTCCCCCTCCCAGCCCCAGCCTGCCCCTCCAAGCCCGCACCTCCCCTCCCAGCCCCAGCCTGCCCCTCCCAGCCCAACCCCACCCACCCCACCCCACCCCACCCCAGTATAAGCAAGGGTTGTACATGTTCTGGAGCAGGTTAAAGCAGAATACAATACATCGGTAAATCACGTTCCAAGTAGACTCATTTACCTGCCGTCGTTGAGTGAAGGGTGAGATATACAGCCCAGCCCGGCACCTGGCACACCGGCACATTGTACCCGGGGTATCATCTATCATCTACTTACCGTCACTGAGAGCCAGATTACCACGTGAAATGGAAGACACCATTACAAGTACAGACTGAAGGGTAAAATGATTTTTTAATCTTAATTTGTGTCACGGCCATTCACAACATCCTGGAACTTGATAGGTCGCCATGAAGGATAAAGTGACATAAAGTTTCGTTTAAAGTTAGGTGATGTTAAAACACGATTTATACCTCTGTATACAGCACTCTTCATATTCAGTTGAACACTTTAACCTACCTATAATCTTTATTTCATGATATTTCAAAAACTGAAATCCACACATGTTCCGGGAGAACTGCATATATTCTTTAAAGAACGATAACTCCTAACAAGCAAATTTGTAACTCGGACTTGCGATAAGAATATCAGAAGCGATGTTTCAGTCTGAGTGAGTGAATGAGTTAATATTTACCGCCACATCGGCAATATCTCAGCCACACCGTGATAGCAAAAAGTTATGTACTAAGAATAAATATATTTATACTTATTTAAAAAGCTGTCAGCGAAGGACAGTATAACGACTAGATTATCACAAATCAAGTACAACTAGTTTGAGTTCAGTATAGAATACAATGCAATATAAAATCGGGCAACTGAATGTACATACTAGGGACCATTGGGACTTAAAGTGCTTTTAGTCTATTCCTGGAGCTGGAACACATGTATCCTTGTCCTCGATTCACCTTCAAACCCAGCCAGGAACCTGTTAAAAAACAAAACTTCTATGTGAAAGATCAAAACTGACCCCGAGGTTTTCATCCAACTTATAGACCGACCGAAGATATACTTTAGATATAATTATTTTAATATTTGGTATTTACTGTTGAAAGCAAATGGGAGCAACTAGCAGCCGATACCTGGCAGCGCTATGCACGTGCTCTGTACGCGCTACCCGTGTCCTGCACGAGTGTTACACGCACTACGCGTCTTCTGAGGATCACATGGTTCATACTGACAAACAATCTCATTCCTCATAGTGATTCTTTGTAGCCTAGTAGATAAAACCGCCAAGGTACTAAGCAGGTGGTTCCAGGATCGAAACCAGGCATCGGCACAATGTCATGGAAGTTTTCAATAATGTGATATTAGACGATTATATTGAGTAATAGCAACACAAAGTTATATCAATCTTCAAAAAAGTGCACTAATTCAAAGTCAAGAGGCTATTCCTCAGAAAATCCCGGGGCTGCGGGCAATTCTGTAGAAAATTCCGGGATTTCTTGAAGAATGCCCGCGAAACTGCCTGTGGAGGTTTACTTGGTGAAGGGAGAACCTGGCGAGACAATAGAGTGACGTCACTGGAGGTTTATAATATACTACCTATCAAAAGCTTAGACTCACTAGTGTAAATGTAGCCACTTACTTCAGTCAACTGTTCTAAACTAGATTTTGCAAAATATTCCATACTGTTTAAAGGTACTGTTTACACATGAACTGATGTATTGTAAATTCGTAATGTTGAAAAGATTATTGTCATAAGTTCAATAAATGATGAAAATCAGTGAAAATTGCCGAATTCTTCACAAAACCTTTCACCAAAACGCAGCTGTTCACATGCACAGTATTTGCACATGCTTTTCAGCAATTTGATGCATGATCCTCGTGCAATTCATCTACATAAGGTTTGCAGTTGGTTCCCCTAAGTTAGTTGAGAAATCAATCTTCGATGTAACCATATATATACATAACATATAGTGAGTGCTTTAAGTGAGTCTAAACTTTTGGTTGGTAGTATATTTAGTCCAGCTGACTCTGACACACAAGTGTTTTCTGTTTAATGTTTTCCTGTATTGTCCACGTTCATGTCGCATGTAGATTCTGGCGTCACTCTTCATAGAAACATGACGCCCCCTTATCGTCCATTGCTTGTGTAGCTTACGTTGGAGTAGTCAATGACTGTGAAACGTCCTCTGCAGGCACTGGGATACACAAGCTTACCCGAAGTAAATCATTATGTATTTCAAGAACCAATGTTCCGAAAATAAATGTCAAACCATAACAGTATCACCTGCCTCAGTCGCCAAACTTGGATGTTTATTTACCGCAGTCAGTGACCCAATCCCTATTGTCGCCTTTTACGACAAACATGAGTTGCTAAAGACAAATTCTTACCCAGACCTTCAGGTGTTCGGGCTCACTGGGGCTCATTTCAGTTCAAATGAAATAATCTGTTTCTCCCCAAAGTACCTACTTTCAGAGATTAAAGGAGAATACTACCGAAGTGAGTCAGTGGCCGACTTGTACCATTATATAGTTCCTGCAATGGATTGTGACCAGCATGTGAGTGTGTATGTTACGGGTATACACATAACATGCTAACCTTTTCCCGAAAACAACCGTTACCATGGATATTTCACACCAATTCATATATAAGCCGAATCCCACAATAGCTAATGCTATTAGCCGAGATTACATGTAACCATTGAATATTTTTTATCGCTCTGCTTAATGCACCCTGATGTGTAAATCATATGATGTACCACGGGTACACTTCAAAATCCATGACATGGAAATATAACAGGTTTTATGTTTGCATTCTATTAACTCAGCACCCCTATTTCTAGAGAGTGGCAACCTGGGTATTGTGTAACGCCATGTAAATTGACTTTTCAGCCCATCAATTATTGTATAAGACATTTATAACCTTCACTGGTATTCCCCCTTGGTCGGGTCTGCCATCACATCAACTGGTCAAGGAAGTGCTATTGTTTTTCTGTCTGTCCATTGATGAGTCGTCGCCTGTCCATTGTTGTCAAAAACTGTATATATACTTAGTATACTCACATCTAGAAGGTGAAGGAGTACGAGTCCGGTATTCCGACTGTCTGTAGGGACGACCACGAGCAGGATAATGCCGCTCGTAGGAAACGCCGTGGGGTTGAGCAGGTACTCCGCTCACCTCATTATATGTCTTGTGTATTTGTTTATCATGTACTGGAGAAGTTTGAACTCAACATATTCCTTCGTCTTGTCAACGTATTGTACGTACACCTCATCTTAATTATGAGCTAATTCCCCAGTCGACGCATACCACTCGTTGACACTACCATATTTTGATGAGTGGTTAAGATGGGGGTCCGTTATCTTACAAATTTGTTCTCTTTAATGGTGCTATCTCACACGCCAACAACGCATACACTTCATTCATGTTTAAATGCTTTTTAAAGTTTGCACTGTAAGCTGATCAACATTTATGTATGATATTGAAAAAACCTACATATATGCTTTAATGCGTGTGTGTGCATGTGCATGTGCAGGTCCATATACATGTGTGTGTGATGTGTTTGCGTGATCTTTTATTCAACATCACATTTCCTAATTATCCATCGGGTACTAGAAACAGGGAGAAAATGGGAGGTATCTGTACAGGGATGCACTGACACGTCTCCAGACCTCATATAAGTTGCGTGTTTGCGTTACATACGCACACCATACATATGAAGGCAAGCACACATATAACTCGTTTAAGCACACACACGCATGAATAAATTGAATAAGCGAAAGGCAGAACAACACTATGCGTCAGTGCCTGTTAGTAATGCAATTAGCAGGCTGCGAACTCAAATATTTGATATGTTTTCTAGTTGACTGAATGTCGAAATCATGTATGGTTTAAACATATTTTTAATCATATTAAATTGAATAGGGATCGGTGAACAAGTTGGTGTTATAACAATATATTCTATATCGGAATTTGGTTCTGGTACAACAGCCTGATTAGTGAAATAATTGTTTAATATATTTGCAATGTCCTGATCGTCATCATATAGTACATCATTATGAACAATATTAGGGAATGAACTTATGGATTTATTTGTTTTAAGATATTGCTTTATCAAGCGCCATCACGTTTTACTACCGCACGGTGAACTTATGTTTTCGTCAATGTCATTAATATAACGTTTTTTAGCTTTCCTTACTTCATTTATAACGGAATTTCTTATTTGTCTAAAGGTACTCCATGCCTGAGGCGAATTTTTCGTTTTTGCAATCTTATGTTTCGATTGCGTTTTCTGATTAAACTGCGTATTACATTATTCCTCCATGGACAGTCATTAGGGCGCATGGTAACAGTTTTATTAGGTATGCATGTATTTCTGATACTTTTAAGCACAATGAAGACTTCAGCTGCTATTTTAGAAACATCCCGGAATATAAACAGGGAATCGCAATTGATATTGTTAGCTGTGTCCGTAATATAAGTCATATCTACGGATGAATAATCAAATATTTGTCTTTGGTATGTATTACATTTCTTAAGTTTTTCTTTGATGGTAACAAATATTGGACAGTGGTCACTACATATAGGATCCAAGACTCCAGACTCTAGCATATTGTCAGTACTAGAAACAAAATTGAGATCAATTAAAGTGCTAGATGTTTGGGTTATCCTAGTAGGATCGTTGATAATTTGAGAAAGTCCATACAAAAGTTGCAGTTGATCACATTTAAGTCTACCGTCTTTCAATATATTCATATTGAAGTCACCTACTACAATTGTATTCAGACTTAAGTCAACAGCATCGCTTATTGCTTGATTGATCATGTCCCAATATGTTTCACTTTTATCCGCTCTATACACTGTACCAACTATATAAGTTGTTTTTGTAAGTTTAAGTTTTATCCAGATAGCTTCCAGTCCTGTTATATCTAACGTATGCATGTGTTCAACGTCAAGATTACTCTTAACGTAAATTGCAACACCCCCACCGCGACTCGGTCTGTCTTTACGGAAGATATTGAATCCTGGAAGTGTAACTTCATTATTAGATATACCGCTATGTAACCAGGTCTCTGTTATACAAATAATATCGTAATCTTCAAATTCGGCTTCTAGCATATCGGTTTTATCTTTAAGACTGCAAATATTCAAGTGAACAACTTTGAGCTGTTTTTTTAAGGGCCCTGGATTAGGATGAACATCGCCACATATGAGTAGTAAGAGGGTGATAAATATTGACACCTGTCTGTTGTAAATGCAAAGGTTGATGCACTAAAGAGATAGTTTAAGAAAGTTATAGGCAGATTTGACTTGGACGTCTAGATTAAATAAACCCACAGCTTGGCGATGCTGATTTATATCAATGGACATCTAGAATATTTGATACGGAAATTGCGCTGGGTTTAGCTGAAAAGTAATTAAAGGAAAGTCTATCATCGAGTCGACAAAGGTTTGAGTTGTACGCATATGAAACTTGCAGAAAACACATCAATATTGATATAATTTGTATATAGGCGTCGGTTGTGAAAACAAACAATACATTCTTTTGTATGAAAAGATGGAATAATGCTACTTCTGCCTTCTGTGTGGTCATTTGGTCAATTTCCAAATTGCCAAAAGAGTAAATTAAACTAAAAACAAAATAGGCCATGCAGAGTGTATGCATGGTGTAAACTGATAAGTTGTGATGATGGTGAGGTGCTATCAAATATATCTCGAAAAGAATTCACTATTTGTTACGAGGGAGGAGTGCAGAGAAAGGGACAGCCAGGTGTGCGAGAAAGGATGGAGACGGCACAGCACAGGCTAATGAATCAATAACTTGGTGGGCACTTGTGCACGTGCTTCTCTAACACCTGGCTGTCCCTTTCTCTGCACTCCTCCCTCGTAACAAATAGTGAACTGTGTCAAAATTTTAATGATAGTTTCTTAAAGAACTTTTTTGGTGGAGTCCGGAAAATTTTCAAATATAAGAAAGCTGTTGGGTATTAGTAAATGATAAACATGTGTACTATTTATATTTACGTGGCAATTTTGTACAATGATAAAATTTGCAATTCATCGGTCCTCAAACGGACTGTAACTGACCAACTGAATGACGATGTGGAGCGTCCAGGGCACTGTACTAAGTACTGCTACTTGATTTAGGGCAGGCATGGATGTTGACATCCGGGGCGTGACATTACATGACACAAGTTTCAGCAGTAAGGAATATTCCGTAAATGTTTAAGCCATTACAAAACCCAACAGATCGAATTTACATTACGTGACAACGATTTGAACAATAGGGAACCTCCAGTGTAGGGAACATCCAGTGTAGGGAACATCCAGTGTAGGGAACATCCAGTGTAGGGAACATCCAGTGTAGGGAACATCCAGTGTAGGGAACATCCAGTGTAGGGAACATCCAGTGTAGGAACATCCAGTGTAGGGAACATCCAGTGGGTAGGAACATCCAGTTTAGGGGGGAACATCCAGTGTAGGGAACATCCAGTGTAGGGAAACATCCAGTGTAGGGAACATCCAGTGTAGGGAACATCCAGTGTAGGGAACATCCAGGGGAACATCCAGTGTAGGGAACATCCAGTGTAGGGAACATCCAGTGTAGGGAACATCCAGTTTAGGGAACATCCAGTGTAGGGAACATCCAGTGTAGGGAACATCCAGTGTAGGAAACATCCAGTGTAGGAGAACATCCAGTGTAGGGAACATCCAGTGTAGGGAAACATCCAGTGTAGGGAACATCCAGTGTAGGGAACATCCAGTGTAGGGAAACATCCAGTGTAGGGAACATCCAGTGTAGGAAACATCCAGTGTAGGGAACATCCAGTGTAGGGAACATCCAGTGTAGGGAACATCCAGTGTAGGGAACATCCAGTGTAGGGAACATCCAGTGTATGGAACATCCAGTGTAGGGAACATCCAGTGTAGGGAACATCCAGTGTAGGGAACATCCAGTGTAGGTAGGAACATCCAGTGTAGGGGGAGCATGCAGTGTGTAGGCATCCAGTGTAGGGAACATCCTCTGTAGGGAACATCCAGTGTAGGGAGCATCCATCCAGGGAACATCCAGTGTAGGGAACATCCAGTGTAGGGAACATCCAGTGTAGGTAACATCCAGTGTAGGGAACATCATCAGTGTAGGGAACATCCAGTGTAGGGAACATCCAGTGGGGAACATCCAGTGTAGGGAACATCCAGTGTAGGGAACATCATCAGTGTAGGGAACATCCAGTGTAGGGGGAACATTCAGTGTAGGGAACATTCAGTGTAACATCCAGTGTAGGGAACATCCAGTGTTAGGGAACATCCAGTGTAGGGAACATCCAGTGTAGGGAACATCCAGTGTAGGGAACATCCAGTGTAGGGAACATCCAGTGTAGAGAACATCCAGTGTAGGGAACATCCAGTTTAGGGAACATCCAGTGTAGGGAACATTCAGTGTAGGGAACAGTGGGGAACATCCAGTGTAGGGAACATCCAGTGTAACATCCAGGGGGAACATCCAGTGTAGGGAACATCCAGTGTAGGGAACATTCAGTGTAGGGAACATCCAGTGTAGGGAACATCCAGTTTAGGGAACATCCAATGTAGGGAACATCCAGTGGGAACACCCAGTACATGGGTATTACATTTCATGAATATAGTTGAAGCGATGGCGAAGACCCAGAAGAGTGGATCAGCCGACATGTCGCCAAACCTACATGTGTACTCAACACAGAAGTAGTCATGCTGAACATGGCCGCGATGTTCTTCAGCACCCGTTATTAACAGACGCCATAACACGACGATCAGGTCAGGTGGGAACGGTTGTTTCACAGCAGAACCAGGCCTACATGGCGACCCAGCACCAGGGAACATGACTTCCCGACACGTACATAGTGCTTTCATTGTTTCTATTGTCACAATGACGACAATGACAATGATGATTACGACTATGACGTGTATCCTTAGTAAAATGAGTATTACTTGTCATTGCTAGAACTCTCTAGAGGACGGACATGCAGTGTTGGTGATGATGGACACAGGTGAACGTGTTGTGATCACAGCTGCTGGTGCCTTTAGCAATATTCCAGCAATATCACGGCGAGGGACACCAGAAATGGGCTTCACACATGTGGGCAATCGAACCCGGGTCTTCATCGTGACGAGCGGACGCTTAACCCACTAGGCTACCCCACAATCCCTTCGTTGGCGTTGGCTATCAATGACTGGTTACGCTTTTCTAATTCTCTCTTTGCTCTATTATTTACGACTATTCGTGTGTCAAAGTGTGTCATTTCTGTTATCGAACCGTGGAGATCCGGGTTAGATTTAGTGGCGACTAACGGGATCGGGTGGTATAGCTGGAATATTGCTCAGTGCGGCGTAATATTAAACTCACTCACTCACACGCACTAGTATTGATCACATACGTGTGTTGATTATATGTAGTATTGATCACAGATGAGTGTTGATCATATCTAAGTACTGATCACAGATGAGTGTTGATTATATCTTAGTACTGATCACATATGAGTGTTGATTATATCTAAGTACTGATCACAGATGAGTGTTGATCATATCTAAGTACTGATCACAGATGAGTGTTGATTATATCTAGTATTGATCACATATGAGTGTTGATTATATCTTAGTATTTTGTCACATATGAGTGTTGATCATATCTAAGTATTTATCACATATGAGTGTTGATTATATCTAAGTATTTATCACATATGAGTGTTGATAATATCTTAGTACTGATCACAGATGAGTGTTGATTATATCTTAGTATTGATCACATATGAGTGTTGATCATATCTAAGTATTTATCACATATGAGTGTTGATTATATCTTAGTACTGATCACAGATTAGTGTTGATCATATCTTAGTACTGATCACAGATTAGTGTTGATCATATCTTAGTACTGATCACAGATTACTCTCGATCCGATATTAGTACTGATCACAGATTAATGTTGATCATATCTTAGTACTGATCAGATTACTCTCGATCCGATAGTAGTACTGATCACAGATTAGTGTTGATCATATCTTAGTACTGATCACAGATTACTCTCGATCCGATATTAGTACTGATCAAGGATTAATGTTGGTCACTTGTCAGTTCTAAACATACATGAGCATTGCTATTGATCATATATTTGGCTGGTCAAGCATGGCCAATAAAGAGCTGGCCTACCACACACATCCCATGTCAATGTCATCCTCAGACCCGTGAAGGTCCGGGTGAGAATGAACCTTCAGTAACCCATGCTTGTCGTAAGAGGCGACTGACGGGATCGGGTGGTCAGGCTCGCTGACTTGGTTGACACATGTCATCGGTTCCCATTTGCGCATATCGATGCTGATGTTGTTGATCACTGGATTGTCTGGTTCAGCCTCGATTATTTACAGACCGCCGCCATATAGCTGGAATATTGCTGAGTGCGGCGTAAAACTAAGCTCACTCACTCATCCTCAGTGTAGGTTGGTGTGACGTCACTGGAGGACATTTCAACGAGTAGACACCTCAGACTACCCTAGTGACGTCTCCAGCAGGGATCTGGTGCCACTAATAGACCGGCCATTATGGGAATGATTTGGTCACCCTGGTTCCTGCTACTGGCACTGATTCCAAGGGTGGGATACTTTCAGGACTGCACATTAAAACTCATTTGGACTTTGTGCTTAAAATGTTTATGAATTTAGACTTGATATCGTCGCTGTATGGCTGGAATAATGCCGATGTGACGTAAGGCCCAACTCAAGGACTCAAGGCCTGCACACCATAGAGTGCCACCTACAGTGTCTGCTGTCAAGATGTTTACGACGGGGATGTTGTGGCTAGTTGTTGTGCCTAGTTTCTCCTCACCAAATTCAAGGTTAAACTATTTTGTTAAATCAAATTCTACATCCATTTACGTTAACATTTTTATAAAGTCAACATTACTATGAAATCAAACTTTTACATCAAAATCAGCATTTTTATCAAAGTGAATATATTTTGTTTATAAGAAACCAAATTATTTCTCAAAGTTTACATAATTTTACAACAAAATCAACATAAGATGAAAATATTGCCGAGTAAAAAAGATTTCATCTTTGTTGATCAGTCTATACTTATACTTCTTTGAGTGGCATTTTAGAAGCTGGGAAGTACAAAATTGACAAACTTTATGGATAACAACGTCTTTATTGCGAGAGTGCGACGTTTCGATACAGATTCTTGTACCGTTGTCAAGCAGGAATGTAACATACATTGGTGGCAAAGTATATATACTGAGTGTTGCGAATAACATGATTCATGTGTATTGTATGTATTACTTTATTCAATGTCCATCTGTTCAACATGTCCATCCGTTTCCAGTTCTAATTCTAACATTCATATTCAATTCCTGCATGTTGCCTTTTACAGTAGATTAACTGAAATCAGTATAAGAACTAAATAAGTTTTAGGAAGTAATAAGCCATAAACAGAATTTAACTTGCTACATGAGCAAATGGCTGTACTGCCACTTCCCAAAGTCATTCAAAAGACAAAATCACAAAATATTTTTATATGCTCCTAAGCACGTTTGAAATACAATAAAGCACTGAGAGCATGAAAACTTCTTCAAAAGCACTGAGAAAATGTTAACCTTATGCCATGAAAACATGTATTCATATAATTTTGACCAACTTACAACTTGCCACAAAAATTACCAAATAAAGCAAAATTCCTACACAGTAATTACCATGACTTACATGAAAAGATAGATTAAAGTTACTTTAACAAATTACAATTCATGAAACATGAAAAATACAATAATTATGCTTACCACTACTTTGGACATTCTCGTGGTGGTTGTTTACTGTGCAAGCACATGGCCTCAAGTGGCATGCCCTGAGACAGTTACCTCTCTTTTTGAGGGTTATTAAAAAGTGGCAATGGTGTTAAACGAAATAAGAGCAAAATTACACTTGGTTAAATAAAAAACTAGAAATTTAACGGAAAATGATTTTGAAAAATAAAGTTTTAGGAAAATAAGTGTTTTGACCATAACACTGAGTGTAACCAAGAAAACAAGATAACAATGTAATTAACACAACAGGGAGGGCTTAGAAGTGATGAAGCCAGTGGGTAGACAATGGGGAAAGGCATGGAAGCCAAAGATGTACAAATGAAAATGGGGGTAGTTTAAACAGGGAGGAGATGTTTATACAGCTGATTGGGTTTGGTGGAGGAGTGCATCATAAGCAGATGGAATGTAATATCCTTGATCTCGATTGATGCTAGGCTTATGGCGTTTGATATGAATGGCTTCGGTTAGCTTTCGTTTGGTGAAGTCCTCTTGGTTGTTGGCCAGAATGGTGATGTCAGTCCAGTTTATATGGTGATTAGGGTTCGATTGGATGTGATCAAAGATGGCTGATTTGCTGTCGGACTTGGTGACGGAGGTCTGGTGTTCTTTCACACGGGTGTTGATAGGCCGGGAGGTTTTCGTCCGTTAGCATGGAGCAGGTTGTTGAGGCTGGAGGATGACGAGAAGATGGTATCGATGCCTGCTTGTTGTTTTAGGAGTCTGAATCAGGCTTGGGTCTATCGGCGGGAGATGACAGGGTAGCAGCAATGGTTCTGTGGACTATTTGGGCTGGGTAGTTGTTTAATTCTACAAAGGCTCTCTTCAGATGTTAAATTTCTTCGTGCAGGTTTGTTGAGCAGATATTCGTCGCTCTTCTAGTTAGAGTAGATATGATGCCGGTCTTAACATTGGGAGGATGATTGGAGTTGTAGTGGATGTATTGATCCGTATGGGTGGGTTTCTGTACACAGTGGTCTGGAGATGGTTGGAGGTGGTACGGGATACAAGGACGACAAGGAAGGGTAGTTGGTTGTTCTGCTCAGTCTCCATAGTGAAATTGATGCGGGGATGTTGGTTGTTTAAATGGGTGAGAAGCTGGGTGGGATCATGATCAGGCTGGAGGATGACGAAAGTATCATCCACTTTCCGGTACCATCAGGTTGGTTTGACAGGTGAACTTAGTAGTGATTTCTGTTCTAGTTCTGTGATGTAAATTTCGGTTAGATTGGGGGATAGAGGTGAGCCCATGGGGAGTCCGTGAACCTGTTCATAGAAGTCATCACCTCAGTTGAAATAGGTGGAGACATCCAACTCTCGACAACAAAACCCCGAAATGTGTGATTTACAAAATAAACTGTGATTGTGGACAGAGTTACATAGGTGAAACCTCCCGGCCTATCAACACCCGTGTGAAAGAACACCAGACCTCCGTCACCAAGTCCGACAGCAAATCAGCCATCTTTGATCACATCCAATCGAACCCTAATCACCACATAAACTGGACTGACATCACCATTCTGGCCAACAACCAAGAGGACTTCACCAAACGAAAACTCACCGAAGCCATTCATATCAAACGCCATAAGCCTACCATCAATCGAGATCAATGATATTACATTCCATCTGCTTATGATGCACTCCTCCACCAAACCCAATCAGCTGTATCAATTGCGCATGAGGTTGGCGCAGCAGAGGTAACGAACCAGTCATGAATTCTGGGATATCATCCGGGTACTCATGGGAGATAAACAATAACAATAGCAACAGCCAGTCCACGGAAATTGCTCTGGATCAGTGGCCCTTGAAGGTTCTTTGATAGTTAGTTGTTTATGTTTACTCTTGCTGTTTATCATTGGAACAGTTTTTGAATTGAACGAGAAACCCCTGTTATCTACAGGATGTAGACAACATCGCCGCCCACTCCTTGACACACGATCCCAGACGTCACCCAAGGTCACGTGATAAGTCGAGCACCTGCATCTGAGAGCTGCATATACTCAGCGTCATAATTAAAAGGTCATCTAGGTTGTCAAGCATGAACACAAGCCAACTGGTTGTGGAAAGATGGGCGACAGTAGAATACATCAAAAATTGCGAGACTGAAAGTGCTGAGAAAAGCCTCCCTTACACCTCAAGACACAAACTTCAGTAACGGTCAGATCGTGAACGGGATGATTCATTCTAAATGGTACTGAGGTTCGCCTTGGAGGTTGATTGCGACGGCTGTTGAATACGTTTATATGATATGACCCACGTGTTATCTTGTAATACCGGCGTGACCCTCAGTGATGGGTATACCTATACTCGACTGGGGCCGGCTTGTAGTGAAGCATGCCCCTAAACCTGGACCGTTATGTGTGTTAGAGCTTGCTTGTTCTTCCTGATTGTATAGACGCGTGCAGTCACTCCGCCCGACATTTTGTTTGTTGCACATTTTTTCAACACGTACGTCTGTCCACAGGGTGTTGACTCTGGTGGAAACACGTCTGTCTGTCCACAGGGTGTTGACTCTGATGGAAACACGTCTGTCTGTCCACAGGGTATTGACTCTGGTGGAAACACGTCTGTCTGTCCACAGGGTGTTGATTCTGGTGGAAACACGTCTGTCTGTCAACAGGGTGTTGACTCTGGTGGAAACACGTACATCTGTCTACAGGCTGTTGACTCTGTCGGAAACACGTACATCTGTCAAAAGGGTGTTGACTCTGGTGGAAACACGTACATCTGTCAACAGGGTGTTGACTCTGGTGGAAACACGTACATCTGTCTACAGGCTGTTGACTCTGGTGGAAACACGTCTGTATGTCCACAGGGTGTTGATTCTGGTGGAAACACGTCTGTCTGTCCACAGGGTGTTGATTCTGGTGGAAACACGTCTGTCTGTCCACAGGGTGTTGACTCTGGTGGAAACACGTCTGTCTGTCAACAGGGTGTTGACTCTGGTGGAAACACGTACGTCTGTCCACAGGGTGTTGACTCTGGTGGAAACACGTCTGTCTGTCCACAGGGTGTTGATTCTGGTGGAAACACGTCTGTCTGTCCACAGGGTGTTGATTCTGGTGGAAACACGTCTGTCTGTCCACAGGGTGTTGACTCTGGTGGAAACACGTCTGTCCGTCTACAGGGTGTTGACTCTGATGGAAACACGTCTGTATGTCCACAGGGTGTTGATTCTGGTGGAAACACGTACATCTGTCTACAGGGTGTTGATTCTGGTGGAAACACGTCTGTCTGTCCACAGGGTATTGACTCTGGTGGAAACACATCTGTCTGTCCACAGGGTGTTGACTCTGGTGGAAACACGTACATCTGTCTACAGGGTGTTGACTCTGGTGGAAACAAATCAGGGTCGCGGACCGTCTGAGACACACGACATAGCCATGGCAAACACATACACAATAATCGCAACACTGGCTCCACAGCAAGGAGGGGCGATGGGGTAGCCTAGAGGTTAAGGTGTTCGCTCGTCACGCCATAGAATCGGGTTCGATTCCCCACATGACGTCGGTATGTAAATAACCGAGTCTAGACCAGACAATCTAGTGACTGATATCCCTTGCAGGGAGGCAGATGTAATAAAGTGCTGATGTGCCATATATCTATATCAACCTACTTATCTGATCCTGTGACTTCCCTTAGTCTTGACAGGATCGGCCACCTTTCATCACTTCATCAATCACACGTCGAAACTCAGGGCTTCCAATCCAAGATCTGCCACACCATCCCAGGTATACAGGAAACATTCCAAGGAGTGTACTTGCGTGGCATTTAGAAGTGATACACATAAAGACACGAATCTAATGAGTGTCAACGTCTTTACTGTGATGGACGTATATTCCAAGGAGTCTCCGAGATATATAACCCTCTATCAAACCTCACTCACTCACTCACTCACTCACTCACTCACTCACTCACTCACTCACTCACTCACTCACTCACTCACTCACTCACTCACTCACTCACTCACTCACTCACTCTCACTCACTCACTCACTCACTCACCCACTCACTCACTCACTCACTCACTCACCTCGGGTGGAAGAAGGACAGCATCACGCCCTGTTGTCTGTATGCTGGCAGATAACACGGAGCACGGACCTCTGGGTGAATCAGTGGCAGAATCTGGGTCTGACATCTCATGTACCACGTACGTGACACTCATACCAGCAGATAATGATGACGGGGCGATTCAGCTGAAACTATATGCTTCTGCAATAATGTCAAATATCGTTGCATTTAAACGTCTACTTTTATCAGTATTTTATATAATAACATCAAATATTGTTGCAATAAAACGTCTACTAAAGTATGATAGTATCAAACATGGTTGCTTTAAAACGTATGTTTCTATTAAAACATTGAATTAAAAAATAAATAAAATAAAGTAAACACAGCAGCCTCCGGTTTGCCTCGACCTGTGTGTTACAGCAGGTGACATAGAGAAGACGTGAAGTGACATTCACCACGTGCTTGTGTGCTGTCATGGAGTGTCCCCATCATTAGAATAGAATAGAATAGAATAGAATAGAATAGAATAGAATAGAATAGAATAGAATAGAATAGAATAGAATAGAATAGAATAGAATAGAATAGAATAGAATAGAATAGAATAGAATAATACTTTATTGCCTTGAAGTCTATTACGTGTGGTACACATAGGTGTGTCGCTTCTCAACATCAGAACTCTTCTTGGTTGCATTCCAAAGGTCACAAAGACATGAGTTAAGATTCACACACACACACACACACACACACACACACACACACACACACACACACACACACACACACACACACACACACACACACACACACACACACACACACACACACACACACACACACACACACACACACACACACACACAAAATAATAACGCAAACAAATGCCCCAAACAGCTGTCCTCCATATCCTTACTATCACACTTAAGGTTCAAATTGATAAGTGGTATGATTCAAGTCAAATGCTAGGTTAACAGCAGCCCTGCCCTCAGATGTGGTGAAGGTGAGCTATCGTACCCTAATACTCTGGTATCTTTATGTTGATCAGCAGGTATGCATGACCAGCATCACGTGATACCACGGAGCTGTTGTCAAGGGCAACTGTGATTGATGACTTCGTTAGTATAGACGACTAATCCCATTATGAGAGTATTCATGAATCCTATTGTCAGTACAGCGCAGGTTTATACACGATCACTTAGATGCACCAGCTGGAACATCGGCTACGCAAGTAACTCTACATTTTTCATGAATATATTACCTGCCCTGAACGAATCACAAGTGGCGGTGAATTGTTAATGTTCTCTGACACATGGGGATATCACTGCGACAGGATCCATTTATGATTGTTTCCCATCTCGGATAACAAAAATGAACCAGTTTTAGATGAACTTCAGGTAAGTGTCGGACATCATGTTGCACGCGCTGATGTTTAATATATCGGTGTGAGTGTGTAGGCGTTAAGGTAGAAGTTGGGGATAACACAGACATTGATAATCATGGAATACCACTCCACCCACTTCTCATCCTGGCTTCATGTATGTCTCCCTATGTCACTCCTGACAGTCTCCATGTATGTCTCCCTATGTCACTCTGACAGTCTCCATGTATGTCTCCCTACGACCCTCTGACTGTCTTCATGTATGTCTCCCTACGACCCTCTGACTGTCTTCATGTATGTCTCCCTACGTCCATCTGACTGTCTTCATGTATGTCTCCCTACGTCCCTCTGACTGTCTTCATGTATGTCTCCCTACGTCCCACTGACTGTCTTCATGTATGTCTCCCTACGCCCCTCTGACTGTCTTCATGTATGTCTCCCTACGACCCTCTGACTGTCTTCATGTATGTCTCCCTACGTCCCTCTGACTGTCTTCATGTATGTCTCCCTACGTCCCTCTGACTCTTTCCATGTATGTCTCCCTATGTCCCTCTGACTCTTTCCATGTATGTCTCTCTATGTCCCTCTGACTCTCTTCATGTATGTCTCTCTATGTCCCTCTGACTGTCTTCATGTATGTCTCCCTACGTCTCCACCCCACAATCCCGCCGACCACGTCCGAATCACTGTGCATCTGACATCGAGACTCCACTAACCGACAGAGTGAAACTACTACATGTAAACCGGATTTGCTCGCTACCTGTTGGTCCCAATCAGGCCGTACACGTGTCTTAGTCATCACAATAACGTCAGGTATGAAACACTTTAATAGAGAGAACACGGATGAGTGTCGATATTAAGTACCTGACCGTACAAGCTGATCCGACTGTTTTCCCGACGATTACACGCTACTGATACTTTCCCAGGTATATGATTATTGTACGTGTGTATGCCGCAGTGGAGAGATGGACACGTATCACACACTGAACATTGTCTTGTTGCAGACTTTGACCACATATACGGACGGGCACGCGTCGAGGCCAGCGATAGCGTGATACTGCATGCGCACCTGTCATATACCAGCGTGTTGCCGTAGCAGGCGCCGGCCGTGGAGCAGCTACACGTAGTTGAATGATCGGGACAAGATCACAGACTCACCTGCCATCTCCTCCTTAAACAACTGCTGTGTAGAAGTATACCCACACGTCGCTGTGACCACGTGACTGTGGAGGTTAAGGTCAAACATCAATTCCTGGGCTCGGAAGCCCCGAGAGTTTTTGGCTTGATGCATCAAATGTGAACATTCTTGTTCATATTAGGCAGCGACGTTGTGAACATGTTTACATTCTTCCTGTAAGAGTCTGAACTGCACGATTGTGAGGCAAATAAGGTATGTACACAATGCATTGAGTGAGTGACTGAGTGAATAAGGTTGGTACAACTGTATGGTGTATGGTAAACCCCAACGTGGGCCTAAGAGATTTATTGGTGCTGTGAGGCCGAATCTAGGACGGGCAACCACGATCAGGGAGACTCGGGCAGCTGGACCAACGTTCTACCCTTTATTATATAATATGATGAATATAGCGTATTTACACTTGTATACAACTTAAACCATGTGGCCAAAACTCGTACATGGCACCTCTAGCATCCTTGATGAAACTGCATGGATGATGATAGCCAACGTGTCTGCAAAACGACAGCCAAACTCTGATCCAGTTCCGAGACACATGGCGGCCATATTGACAGCGCCATTACTCAGCAAGTTTGTGTTGTGATTTGTGACGCTCCCGTGACCTTGACCTTTCACACGGCTTCTACCGATGGTCTTCCTCTCCCCGGCTGACATCTGACCCCTGACCTCTGACCTCTGAATAAGTTATTGCCCTCATTAGATGCATATGTATTTGTGAACCTGCTGCACACATATCATCTGAAGTAGGCTAGCAGTTTATGGTATCTTCACATTTACCGAGTCTTACTCTACGCTTCTGGACGGCACCCAGGCCTGATAAAACTACCAGACACTCTGCCAAACCCATTGTGACAGATAAAGGGGCTGGCTAAACTGTCAGTTTGAAATGAGTTCCAAATGAAATCGAGTCAGTAAGCAAAGCTGGACGACTGTAGTGTTGGCCATGAACATAACAGAACTTCTGCTTTGTGCGCGGTGGCCAGTATGACCGTCACTTAATTGTACAAGATGTTTGAAGGTCATTACCCTGATGAAGACTGAGAGATACCCTGTCCGCGACGGATACCTATGTCGAATCTAACGGGTAGAACACGAAAGCCGATACCATTGTTAGTGACACGTGACCACTTCAATTATGTCCCGTTGGTCAGTCAGGGATGTCACGACCTGTATGTGTGGACATTAGTAGAACGATTATAGTTCCTTCTACAAACAGTGAAATACTTAATGTTCTTGAATGATGCAGGACTGATTCAGAGTACATCACATGAGTAAAGTGTTGGCTTTGTGAGCAGTTGCGTGTCTGATAGCATAAACGTCACGGTTTTGGAAATGTAATCAAACATACTGGACGACGTCAGCCACCTTATTCAGATTTTAGCACATGAAACTGACGTTCTACCCGACCATCCCAAGACAAGGAAACCAGTGTCTTCCGACGTGTACTGGGTTTTGCGTCACGTTTTTACAGTATACTCATAACAAGGGATTCAAACTCGGTCCTTTCTTGGGACGAGCAAACCCTGTAACCACTAGACTTCCCAGACCAATAGTAAATTCATTTATCACAAACATCAAAATTGTGGGGACCAGTCTCTCATTGTTAGTTTGTCGTATTGAAGACAATCTCATCATCATCACAGATGGCGACTGCGGAGCCTGCTAAGGGCGGGCAAGCCAAGTCCCCCGAGCCCCCCACGCCTCGCCCACCTGACGGGGCTGGGGCTGGGTCGTCACCTTCTCCTCCTTCATGATCAGCGTCCTCGTGGACGGCGTGTGTTTCAGCCAGGGCATCTTCTTTAACGTCTTCATGAATCACTTCAACTCCAACAAGGCGACCACCTCATGGATCGGCTCCGTCCTGAACGGATCCTACCTCACCATCGGTGTGTATCTACTATCTACTACATCATCAATTGTGTTACCAATGTAGTTGTATCATTGACATTTCCAAGTAACGTAATGATGTCATCACTCATTTCAGAACTGAATCCCCTCGAATCCATAACATGTAAGAAAAGTTGTATAGTATCCACATGTCTGATGAACTGGGAAGTCCATGAATAATATTTTCGCGGCATCTCGTCTAACGGAAAAGCGTTTTATCATACAAATACAAACTAGTTTTCACCCTACAAAGACCTAGGTGTTTTAGTTCAGGATGACAACCAGCTGTTTTTACCTGGTAAACTATAAAATACACATTTTTCCTCACACCTCAAGGGCCGTTTGTCAGCATGCTTGTCAACAAGTTCGGCTGTCGCCAAATCGCCATCACGGGTGCTGTCGTGTCGTCAGTGGCCCTGTTTGTGTCGACCTTCTCCCCCAACATCGCTCTCCTCACCTTCCTATACGGATTCATGGGAGGTAAGTAGGTCAGCTTTCTTCAGGTAGGATAACTGCTGGTACGGGGGAGGTAACTCAGTCCGTACTCTTCAGGTAGGATAACCAGCGGGATCAAGGGAGGTAAGTCAGTCAGTACTCTTCAGCATCCCGGTTCCCGGGCCTCCCATTAGTTTATACAGAAATGAGAGGCCCGGGAACCAGGATGTGCTCTTCAGTTGCTATATAAACTATCTCGTTCAGGGGAGGTAAGTCAGTTATCACTCTTCAGGTAGGATAACTGCTGGTTCAGGGGAGGTAAGGTTTTTCGCCGTTTTTAGCAATATTCCAGCAACATCACGACGGGGGACACCAGAAATGGGCTTCACACATTGTACCCATGTGGGGATTCGAACCCGGGTCTTCGGCCTGACGAGCGAACACTTTAACTACTAGACTACCCCACCGCCCCCAGTCAGTACTCTTCGGGAGCTTTAACTAGTTGGTTCAGGAAAGGCAAATCATTCCTTACACGTCGGGTAGGATAACTAGTTGGTTCAAGGGAGGTAAGTGAGTCAGTACTCTTCATATAGGATAACTAGCTGGTTCGGGGAGGTAGGTGTGTTTTGAGGATTTTCAATGCTTAATTCCCGTGGTATTTACATTTATCTCACTGACAATATTCATTACTTTTTTCGGACTGGCTATCAAAGGGGTTAAGTGATTGTTACCTGCAGATACAGCGTTCGCACTTTACTTCCCCAGTGTTACTGTCCAACTGATGTGTTTCAGGAATAGGGTTCGGCTTGATGTATCTGCCAGCAATAGTCATGGTGGGCTACTACTTTGACAAGAGGCGAGCCCTAGCCACAGGCATTGCGTGCTGTGGGTCCGGGATAGGCACCTTCGTGTTTGCCCCACTCTCCGAGTTCCTCCTGGGCGAGTACAACTGGCAGGGCACCACGTGGATCATGTCAGGTCTCGTGCTCAACGGTGCCATCTTCAGTATGTTCTACCGTCCTCTTCCGGCGGCAACGTGCGACCACAGTGATAATTCCGACATGCAGCTGGCAGAGTTGGGAGACAACAAACCAATATATTCCAAGAATAGAAAAGACAGTGAACCAATTGTTAGATGCCGATCGTACGACATGAACTTGAATAAGCCTGTAAATGGGCAGATTTCGATGATTAAAGGTGACAATGATATAGCCAGACTTGCTCATAGCCATGGAGCAATACCTCAGGACCGTAGACATGGCCACAAACAATCATACCTGCAGCCTCTGGAGAGGAAGGACATATTCTATAGTGGAAGTATCAGGAATCTGAAGGAGTTTAGTCAGGCTGGGTCTGAGAGAGAGTATACGCGGTCGATGTTCACCTCCCGCCAGTCTCTGCAGCCGGCGAATGGGGACAAGGTGGTGGAGAGTCTCCCACTTTGTACACGTGCTGTACGTGGACTGTTGTCTGTGTTCGACATCTCACTTCTTAAAAGTCCAACATTTTTACTGTATGGGATTTCGTGCTTTCTTTGTATGATGGGTGAGTAGAACATTAAGGTCATCGTTAGCTTCATCCACGGGATAAATGTTTTTCATCAGAAACCATCCCGTCATCAGAGTTCATCCCCTGTCATCACAACCAAGCCCCCGTCATCAGAACCTATCCCGACATAGCTCCAGATCATCCGTGTCCAAGAGAGTCGCCTCATTATAACGCTGTCCAACATCGGTCTATTCATCAAATGATACTTATTTCATGAGTGAGGGAGTTGGGTTTAACGCCGACTTTAACAGTGTTACAGCCGTACCATGCTGTGTGTCCTGTATGCCAGAGGAAAGCCCGTACACTGTGTGAAACAAATAAATGCGGGTATGGTGATAACAAAATATATATGAAAAAACAACAATAGAAAAAAAAGCAAAAAAAAGCAAAAAGAAAACAAATAAAAAACGTAGGGATTGGATTGCACTGATTTCTGGTGTGCCGAAGAAACAGAATCTACATTTGGAATAATGTCTTGTGAATCATGATTCTAGTGAAGTTATTAGGTAACCTGGCCCAATAGAGTAGTGACTCAGTTATCTCCCCTTGTAGGCTTCTTCGTGCCCTTCACCTACATCCCACCCCTGGCCCTGGACATGGACATCTCGCTGAAAGACGCAGCATTTCTCATCTCCATCATCGGCATCACCAACACCGTGGGCAGGGTCGTCGTGGGCTTCGTCTCCGACCAGTCGTGGGCTGATTGCCTTCTCATCAACAACATAGCACTCATCATTGCCGGTGTTGCCACCATACTGGTTCCCTTCTATGGCAGCTACGGGCTGCTGTCGGCTTATGTGGCCATCTTTGGTCTTGGGATAGGTAAGACAACCTTCACTGGCATAGCTGTCGTAAATACATGGAGAATAATAAGTGCAAAATCTTGTGCATTTTGCACATGTTGGCTACTAAAGATTTGTGAACGACCTTCTCAGCTGATTAAAAAGTAAGATATGATTCGTGTGTTATATAAGGGACCTTGGCTTATTCCGCACTGACAGTGATCTGATGAATATATTTTCTTTATGATTGGCGTGTTATATAAGGGACCTTGGCTTATTCCGCACTGGCAGTGATCTGATGGATATATTTTCTTTATGATTCGCGTGTTATATAAGGGACCTTGGCTTATTCCGCACTGACAGTGATCTGATGGATATATTTTGTTTATGATTCGCGTGTTATATAAGGGACCTTGGCTTATTCCGCACTGACAGTGATCTGATGGATATATTTTCTTTATGATTCGCGTGTTATATAAGGGACCTTGGCTTATTCCGCACTGACAGTGATCTGATGGATATATTTTCTTTATGATTCGCGTGTTATATAAGGGACCTTGGCTTATTCCGCACTGACAGTGATCTGATGGATATATTTTCTGTATGATTCGCGTGTTATATAAAGGGACCTTGGCTTATTCCGCACTGACAGTGATCTGATGGATATATTTTCTTCATGATTCGCGTGTTATATAAGGGACCTTGGCTTATTCCGCACTGACAGTGATCTGATGGATATATTTTCTTTATGATTCGCGTGTTATATAAGGGACCTTGGCTTATTCCGCACTGACAGTGATCTGATGGATATATTTTCTTTATGATTCGCGTGTTATATAAGGGACCTTGGCTTATTCCCACTGACAGTGATCTGATGGATATATTTTCTTATGATTCGCGTGTTATATAAGGGACCTTGGCTTATTCCGCACTGGCAGTGATCTGATGGATATATTTTCTTTATGATTCGCGTGTTATATAAGGGACCTTGGCTTATTCCGCACTGACAGTGATCTGATGGATATATTTTCTTTATGATTCGCGTGTTATATAAGGGACCTTGGCTTATTCCGCACTGACAGTGATCTGATGGATATATTTTCTTTATGATTCTCGTGTATAGGAACAGTTCTAACACATGTTCTTGATGAGGAACAGTTCCCGTCGATGGTGGATAACAGATCCTTCAGGTGATTTGTAAAACTGAAAACTGGACCCACAGCCGTTACACATATGTCTGATACTGGTGGATGTGTTTTCGTGTTTAGCGGTGTTCGTGTCGCTGCGGTCAATCATCATGGTGGAGCTGATGGGGCTGGAGAAGCTGACCAGCGCATTTGGACTGGTCATCATGTTCCAGGGAATGTCGTCCTATATCGGGGCGCCTATAGCAGGTGCGTGGTGTATCGTGCGAGTTGGGGTCAACCTCAGCGTATTATAAGTAGATTATGTTTGTGTATGGGTTTAGTGCATATCGTGTAATAATGCAGCGTGACAGGTCGGGAGAGGACCAATGTAACTTGCTCCAAACACAGATAGGTGAACACCACAGGCGTTTCATCACAACGTTTGGTATGGATTTATAACTTTATTATTTACAACACGACGTTTCTGGGCTACTTCTTGCTCCTTCATCAGATGAATGACAATATGATTTACAAACAAAACAAACAGTAAACACAGGACACCGATGAGATGGGATTAAAGATATGTAGAGGTCAAGGGGTTTACGTGATATGGTATGATAAATCCATACCATACGTTGTTATGTTACCATCCCACTCCTATAGAGGTTTATATGTTTAATTTGTTAGGCATATACTGCCACTGACGAGGAGATAGCACGACATGAAAGGTAACGTGTGTAACGAGAGCAACACGGCAAGTTCGTTTCAGGACGAATTCAACTATGATAAGTGTAACCCCTATACACCCATGCACGCATTTCAAGCCAATGTATCTAGCTACGAAATGTGACATCTGCTAGAATGTGTACCGCTGACTTATCGTGTTTCTAGTATACTGCACCATCCACACACACGACACGTACCAAAACACACTGTATCGATGGCACTTGTCACTTCCAATATTTTACGAGGGGACACTTACACCCAATGGCCATAATGAGTACAGGTACATTTGTTCATCTCAGACAGGCCTAAGTCGCGTCATTTCGCCATGTTAGTCCTTGACATTGATTTATCCCGCACTGAAAGGGGCATCAATATATTAAATTTATAACCAATCATATCACTGGATCTTTTTCGAGCTTTGGAATAATCCAGCCCAGAAGTAAGGATCCGGATTTTGTGATCTTTGTCTCTTTTTGTTGGTAAAGCTATTTACTTGAAATGCGTGATATCATACTTTGGCGTTACAAACCCCTGTGGTGAAAACAATCCTAAGGTACCATATTTACCTTGGGATTCAGCTCAATCATAACCGATTAATGGTTTGGCTAAGGAAGTGTACACGATCCGGGTTAGAATTGGCCATCAGCAACCTATGCTTGTCTCGAGAGGCGACTAACGGGATCGGGTTGTCAGGCTCACTGACTTGGTTGACACATGTCATCGTTCCCAACTGTGTAGATCGATGCTCATGCTGTTGATCACGGCATTGTCTGGTCCAGATTCGATTATTTACAGACCACTGCAATTTAACTGGAATATTGCTGAGTGCTGCGTTAAACAACCAACCAACCAATATTTATACCCGTTTCCAGTTGGACTATTTTACCGTCATGCCATTTGGAGATTGTAACTGACTGCAGTGATCAATGACTGTGAGGTTTGTAGTGGCTCCAGGCAGGATGTGTAATGCTGTTACTATTTCCTCCCTCACCAGGTGCTATCGCCGACACGTTCGGTAGTTACAACGCAGCGTTCTACGTGTCGGGGTCGACGTTAGCCATGGCGGGCGTCATCTGCCTCCCCCCTGCGGAAGTTGGCTGCCTGGGAGAAGGCTCGGGAACACAAACACAGAGCAGCGGAGTCTCAAGCAATGTTGGACAGTCCCTGACCGGCTGGGGATAGAAGGGATTTTGTGTTAGAATATAAGTCACCGGCTAATGAAAATATAAACTTGAAAACTGGATATGACCGAAACATTGTATAAATATATACTGACGTCTCAAATTCCATGTATGTTGATAATATAAAAGTATATACGCATAGATCACCGTCGTGTCTCGTTATTCCATTATATACCTAAATCTAACGTAGGTGTTTACTTTCTACAGCCAGGCAGATCGTATTGTATACCGTATGTGTTGATTAACAGAAAGGCAGAAGAAACGATACGGAACACTTCATGCACATCCCTGGACTATATACTTGTAAACCATTAAAATGTGTTCTAAATCCTCTACAACGCCAGTGATTCAGCGGATGAGAATAGTGCTTCTCCAAGTGGACCGACTTGAGACCTACCTCGCTCATTTCGTTCAACGTCGAATTGGTAGTCCTGTGATGGTGGTGGATGTTTTCAGATGGATGACGACGGCTGCCATGAAAATATTCGGACACTTTCTGGATGTTGATAAATTAATCAATTGTGAGTCTTGTTCCTGCACAATGACCAAATACGGAAACAAGACGTTTTCATGACTGGAGTATATTTCTGTTGGTTCGTCATTTAGGCAAATCGTAAAGCCTCCAGACTATACATTGAGATTTGGTGACTCGTACAGGTAATAATGACAAACTTGACACACAGCGAGACAGTTGTACTGACAATACTTCATTGTGACACAGACTGCACGGAGACAGGAAGAACAGAACGTGCTACTTCACGGCACACACTACCAGCAACACAGAATGGTGCTCCAGAGTTGACGGGACACACACCTAACACTACCAACACTCCTAATCACGGCACACACTACAAGCAACACAGAATGGTGCTCCAGAGTTGACGGGACACACACCTAACACTACCAACACTCCTAATCACGGCACACACTACAAGCAACACAGAATGGTGCTCCAGACTTGACGGGACACACACCTAACACTACGAGCACTCCTAATCACGGCACACACTACCAGCAACACAGAATGGTGCTCCAGACTTGACGGGACACACACCTAACACTACCAACACTCCTAATCACGGCACACACTACCACAACTCCTAATCACGCAACACAGAATGGTGCTCCAGACTTGACACACCTAACACTACAGGCACTCCTAATCCACGGCACACACTACACAGGGTGCTCCACACACACCTAACACTACACGGCACTCCTAATCACGGCACACACACCTAACACTAGCAACACAGAATGGTGCTCCAGAGTTGACTTGACGGACACACACCTAACACTACCAACACTCTAATCACGGCACACACTACAAGCAACACAGAATGGTGCTCCAGAGTTGACGGGACATCACAACCTCCTAATCAAGGCACACACTACCAGCAACACACTTGACGGGACACACACCTAACACTACCAGCACTCCTATGGTGCTCCAGAGTTGACGGGACACACACCTAACACTACGAGCACTCCTAATCACGGCACACACTACTCCAGAGTTGACACCAGCAACACAGAATGGTGCTCCAGACTTGACATGAGGGACACACACCTAACACTACGAGCACTCCTAATCACGGCACACACTACCAGCAACACAGAATGGTGCTCCAGACTTGACGGGACACACACCTAACACTACCAACACTCCTAATCACGGCACACACTACCAGCAACACAGAATGGTGCTCCAGAGTTGACGGGACACACACCTAACACTACGAGCACTCCTAATCCCAAGTCCACTAAATAACACCGGTGTACCCAAACCTCTTTAGATATATTCTAATACAAAATGGCCTTCTACATCGCATATAATTCCAGATAACCCACCCGTACCAGTATACAACAACCCCTCAAAACACATAACCCGAACAACAGCAACAACAGCAACAAAAACAAGGACATCAAATATCAACCTAACCATCCGTTCCCTACCACAATTCTGGAAAATTTCCAAGTTAAAAATTCGTACAAAATTATATTATGCAAACCTTACGCCCCCTTCAGGTTGCCTAATCTATCAATCATACGCATAATGTTGGAAGCGGGCGTAAAATCTCTACATCCGCAGCACCATTACCCCCATATCACACATAACAACTCGAGTCAGTATTGTGTGTGACGTCAGAAGACGAGTATTGTGTGTGATGTCAGAAGAAGGGAATTGTGTGTGATGTCAGAAGACAAGTATTGTGTGTGATGTCAGAAGACAAGTATTGTGTGTGATGTCAGAAGACAAGTATTGTGTGTGATGTCAGAAGACAAGTATTGTGTGTGATGTCAGAAGACAAGTATTGTGTGTGATGTCAGAAGACAAGTATTGTGTGTGATGTCAGAAGACAAGTATTGTGTGTGATGTCAGAAGATTGTATTGTGTGATGTCAGAAGTAATGTGTGATGTCAGAAGACAAGTATTGTGTGTGATGTCAGAAGACAAGTATTGTGTGTGATGTCAGAAGTGTGTGTGATGTCAGAAGACAAGTATTGTGTGTGATGTCAGAAGATAAGTAATGTGTGTGATGTCAGAAGACAAGTATTGTGTGTGATGTCAGAAGTGTGTGATGTCAGAAGACAAGTATTGTGTGTGATGTCAGAAGACAAGTAATGTGTGTGATGTCAGAAGAGAAGTATTGTGTGTGATGTCAGAAGTATTGTTTGATGTCAGAAGTATTGTGTGATGTCAGTAGACAAGTATTGTGTGTGATGTCAGAAGTATTGTGTAATGTCAGAAGTATTGTGTGATGTCAGTAGACAAGTATTGTGTGTGATGTCAGAAGTATTGTGTAATGTCAGAAGTATTATGTGATATCAGTAGACAAGTACTGTGTGTGATGTGAGAAGACAAGTATTGTGTGTGATGTCAGAAGACAAGTATTGTGTGTGATGTCAGAAGACAACTATTGTGTGTGATGTCAGAAGACAAGTATTGTGTGTGATGTCAGAAGACAAGTATTGAGTGTGATGTCAGAAGACAAGTATTGTGTGTGATGTCAGAAGAGAAGTATTGTGTGTGATGTCAGAAGACAAGCATTGTGTGTGATGTCAGAAGACTAGTATATTGCTTGCCAGTCGAGCTAGCTATGTCTGAAAGTTACTTACCCTCAAATTAAGTCGGCAACCACCCCATCCCCACCCTCACCCCCATCCCCACCCTTTTTTAGAACAATGTGAAATATATATGACGTTTTCAGCATTTTGCTCAAGCTGCGTCTCCGATATTTATTTAGTTACTGGATTCGATTCACTATATGAGAAGATTTCAATTTCTGATATCACCCGCTGTGATATTGCTGGAATATTGCTAAAAAACACATAAAATTAAACTCACTCACTAACTCACTCACTCGTTAAAATATAACTCTACACTTGACCTCAAAATAACTAAAATATTGAAAATTACCGTGCCGCTGCTTTTATTAGTGATTGTACAATCACCAACAAATTCTAAAAATACAATGTTATGAACTTGTATCGCAATGGAAACACTAGAATTGCAGCATTTTTTATACACTAGATAACACTGCAATAAATCAAAGCTCTAAATACCTCCTGTTTTGCAGTCACAATTCACAATTACTTTGGTTGTACGCAATCCACGTGGGGGGTAGCCTGGTGGGTAAGGCTTTCGCTCGTCACGCCGAGGACCAACATGGGCACAATGTGTGAAGCCCATTTCAGGTTTCCCCCGCCGTGATATTGCTGGAATATTTATAAAAGCGGCGTAAAACTAAACTCACTTCCAACTGGTTGTGCTTGTTCGGTCACTAAAACGCCTGGTTTCTTTTCATTGATTTGATGTGTGGTTTATTCTACACAAAGCTACTGATTGTGTAAAACAAGATCGATAAAATTCATTTTCATTCATATCACATAAGTAGACACCGTTTCCTTCTGTTGTGTGTTTGTCGGTATTATACCAAATGTCCCATAGTCTCTGTACCTATTAACCTGCTGTAGAGGCATGGGCAAGCAGTCCAAGTCATGCGCCAACATTTTCAATCAATTTACCACCTCGTGAATTCGCTTGTTGATTAATCTTATCTAAATTCAAGTTCGTTATTTCTCTAAGAACGATTTTGTATTTGTACAAACGCAAATATAAATCACAGCGGTCGGTGCGTGATTCCCGCTGCTTCACACGTGAGCGAGAACTGATGGCCATTGTGTGCGGGTGGCCATTTTGTTGACAATTCTCCAGTGCAGCATCCCCTCCACAGGAGACAATATTGTAGCCATCCGACTAAGTCACGTCCTGCCACACCCTGTCACCATTACCGTGGCAGCCTCGCCCTGGACGTGAAAAGATGATCACGTGATAAAGCAATGGAGACAATGTATACAATCATACTTATTGTCACACTTTAACCCATCAAACAATCGTAGTGCCTTCATCAGATCACACTGACCCACTCCTAGCATCCTGTCTATAACGTATATAAGATTAGACATGATATGTTTCTCTGTGTGTGAGTGTGGGTTGCGAAACGAGATTTGAGAAACCACAGCAGTCCAGTTGTTCTGAACAAGGTAGCGGGCACCTGTTGTGGTGTACTCCAGAAGACCAAAACTAGAAGGATTCAACAACACCTTGACTCTCGACACGTCAACGACTCAATCAGCGTATTCCTGAAGAACGAACACTGAGATCTCGACACACCTGAACTCTGTTGATATGCCGCTGCTGACGTCGGTGTTGATATTGGTGGTGTTGGCCGCTGTCGAGGGGAAAGACTTGACACTGACCGAGGACGCTTCTGGGCAGGAAGTGGTGGAGGCTGTGATAGACCGGATAAGAGCTCAGTGTATATTCACGGATGACCGATTTTTACTTCGGCGTCTGGCGTTTGTGGAGAGTCAAGATGGCGAGGCTGCCGAGACCTACAGCGACGGCTACCACGGTGGAATATGGAAGGTATGGTTGTATACTCCACAAGGAGACATACAATAACAGCGAGTTACCCAGTCTAGACTTGACAGTGCAGCTGTTTTTCAGCAGTGTGTAACTAACCCAGTCTAGACTAGACAGTGCAGCTGTTTGACAGCAGTGTGTAACTAACCCAGTCTAGACTAGACAGTGCAGCTGTTTTACAGCAGTGTGTAACTAACCCAGTCTGTACTAGACAGTGCAGCTGTTTGACAGCAGTGTGTAACTAACCCAGTCTAGACTAGACAGTGCAGCTGTTTGACAGCAGTGTGTAACTAACCCAGTCTGGACTAGACAGTGCAGCTGTTTGACAGCAGTGTGTAACTAACCCAGTCTAGACTAGACAGTGCAGCTGTTTGACAGCAGTGTGTAACTAACCCAGTCTAGACTAGACAGTGCAGCTGTTTGACAGCAGTGTGTAACTAACCCAGTCTAGACTAGACAGTGCAGCTGTTTGACAGCAGTGTGTAACTAACCCAGTCTGGACTAGACAGTGCAGCTGTTTGACAGCAGTGTGTAACTAACCCAGTCTAGACTAGACAGTGCAGCTGTTTGACAGCAGTGTGTAACTAACCCAGTCTGTACTAGACAGTGCAGCTGTTTGACAGCAGTGTGTAACTAACCCAGTCTAGACTAGACTGCAGCTGTTTGACAGCAGTGCAGCTGTTCTGACTAGCAGTGTGCTGTAACCCAGTCTGTAACTAACCCACTAGACAGACAGTGCAGCTGTTTGACAGCAGTGTGTAACTAACCCAGTCTAGACTAGACAGTGCAGCTGTTTGACAGCAGTGTGTAACTAACCCAGTCTAGACTAGACAGTGCAGCTGTTTGACAGCAGTGTGTAACTAACCCAGTCTAGACTAGACAGTGCAGCTGTTTGACAGCAGTGTGTAACTAACCCAGTCTAGTCAGTGCAGACTGTGTAACTAACCCAGTCAGTGCAGTGCTGCTGTTTGACAGCAGTGTGTAACTAACCTAGAGTCTAGACTAGACAGTGAAGCTGTTTGAGCTGTTTGACAGCAGTGTGTGTGTAACTAACCCAGTCTAGACTAGACAGTGCAGCTGTTTGACAGCAGTGTGTAACTAACCCAGTCTAGACTAGACAGTGCAGCTGTTTGACAGCAGTGTGTAACTAACCCAGTCTGGACTAGACAGTGCAGCTGTTTGACAGCAGTGTGTAACTAACCCAGTCTAGACTAGACAGTGCAGCTGTTTGACAGCAGTGTGTAACTAACCCAGTCTAGACTAGACAGTGCAGCTGTACTAACCCAGTCTAGACTAGACAGCAGTGTTTGACAGCAGTGTGTAACTAACCCAGTCTGGACTAGACAGTGCAGACAGTGCAGCTGTTTGACAGCAGTGTGTAACTAACCCAGTCTGGACTAGATAGTGCAGCTGTGTGACAGCAGTGTGTAAGCCAGTCTGGACTAGACAGTGCAGCTGTTTGACAGCAGTGTGTAACTAACCCAGTCTGGACTAGACAGTGCAGCTGTTTGACAGCAGTGTGCACCTATTCCAGCCTGGAATAGACAATGGAATCTGCAACGTCCTTTGTCCATTTTTCCAAGTGCTGCTTTTACTTTTCAGGTGGACTATGACATGTTTGCCAATACTTCCGCCTGCGCACAACCAATCCGGAACACCTGCGCTGTCATCAAGTCATCCTTTGGTTTTGACTGGACACGTGTCTGGTGGAGCGATCTCAGGAAGCCGCTGTACTCTGGACTGGGCGCCGTTCTTTTCATACTCTCACAAAACCTCTCGTTCCTACCCGCTGACACGGTATCACAAGCCCAGTTCTGGTCCACAGCCTACAGAAGGGGGGCGTACATGAACAAATACATCATCGCCGCGCAGCAGATCAGAGAATTGGGTGAGTTTCCAGAGAGTATAATCCATTTGGATCCAAGCTTCACAGCAGATAAGATATGTACGAGAGTGTCGCCGAGTAACCTTAGCGAGTTATTGGACGCCAGGGTTAGGGTTAGGGACCTAATCGAATATGTCCGGTGTAATACATGTTCATTATTTGTTGCTGTGTTTTTCCCTTTCGCATTTCTAATACTTTTTTTACTACACAAAAGTCGAAAGTACACGATGAAATGGTTTGACACGTGGGCTAATGGAAACTGTCCTGGAACTTGCATTCAAGCCACTTTACACGCTACACTTGTTCAGCAATGAATCGAATGCTAACTCATCCTCATGGTCTGACCAGACATGCTCATGCGATCCACAGTATCCTTGTAGTGTTCCCTACGACACTGTTCTGTCACAATATCACCCTATAATATTCATAATTGCACGGCATTCATACATACCGTGAATTCGACGTCTGACGCCTGACGTCAACAGCCGCTGTTTTCAGTTCGCCCGGCTCATTTCCCACCACACGGGATCTTGTAGATTACGGAATGGGACGAGTATGCCAAATGGCATCGGGAACATTAGTCAGTTGTCCGTAGAATTAAATCACGAAATCTACCCGCAACCTTCGTAATTATCACTGATCTATTCGACTCTTTCCGTTCATTTCCGTAACGGCTTAGGAATGCTGTATTCTGAAGGTGCTCCGATCAAATATATACGTGAGTGTTGAATAGTAACCTCAGCGAGTGTATAGCCCATATGGATCCAAGCTCCATGGAGTATATAATCATTTTTTGACAGCTCCACCATATATGATGACAAATTAGTTCCCCTCAGCAAAATATATTGACAGCTCCACCATATATGATAACAAATTAGGTTGTTCCCCACAGCAAATATATTGACAGCTCCACCATATATGATGACAAATTAGGTTGTTCCCCACAGCAAATATATTGACAGCTCCACCATATATGATAACAAATTAGGTTGTTCCCCACAGCAAATATATTGAGAGTCCCACCATATATGACTGTATCCTAGGTTGTTCCTCCGAGCTGGATCTCGCCTTTATCCTGGACGGGTCGGGAAGTATTCACCAAGATGAGTTTGAACGGGTGAAGGGCTTTGTCATCAACATTGCACGTGACTTCAACATCTCTAAACAGGGCGTTCAGCTCGCCGTTGTCGAGTTCAGCAGCCATGTTGGTGACGTTATCCACCTGAACAGGTATTGTTAACAACCACGTATTGTTATTACCCAGGTATTGTTATTACCCAGGTATTGTTAACACCCAGGTATTGTTATTACCCAGGTATTGTTAAGACCCAGGTATTGTTATTACCCAGGTATTGTTAACACCCAGGTATTGTTATTACCCAGGTATTGTTATTACCCAGGTATTGGTAACACCCAGGTATTGGTAAAACCCAGGTATTGGTAACACCCAGGTATTGGTAATTATTAATTTCGTTAGTATCACCGTATCAGTGAGTATACGCGAAATGTGGCACAATCACTGACATACGATCTGTCATACGACCACAGAACGTCTTACAGACTTGCATACGATCTGTCATACGACCACAGAACGTCTTACAGACTTGAATACGATCTGTCAGTACGACCACAGAACGTCTTACAGACTTGTATACGATCTGTCATACGACCACAGAACGTCTTACAGACATGTAAACGATCTGTCAGTACGACCACAGAACGTCTTACAGACTTGTATACGATCTGTCAGTACGACCACAGAACGTCTTACAGACTTGTATACGATCTGTCATACGACCACAGAACGTCTTACAGACTTGTATACGATCTGTCAGTACGACCACAGAACGTCTTATAGACTTGTATACGATCTGTCAGTACGACCACAGAACGTCTTACAGACTTCTCTAAACAGGGCGTTCAGCTGGCCGTTGTCGAGTTCAGCAGCCATGTTGGTGACGTTATCCACCTGAACAGGTATTGTTAACAACCACGTATTATTATTACCCAGGTGTTGTTATTACCCAGGTATTGTTAACACCCAGGTATTGTTATAACCTAGGTATTGTTATTACCCAGGTATTGTTAAGACCCAGGTATTGGTAACACCCAGGTATTGGTAATTATTAATTTCGTTAGTATCACCGTATCAGTGAGTATACGCGAAATGTGGCACAATCACTGACATACTTGTATACGATCTGTCAGTACGACCACAGAACGTCTTACAGACTTGTATACGATCTGTCATACGACCACAGAACGTCTTACAGACTTGTATGCGATCTGTCATACGACCACAGAACGTCTTACAGACTTGTATACGATCTGTCAGTACGACCACAGAACGTCTTACAGACTTGTATACGATCTGTCATACGACCACAGAACGTCTTACAGACATGTAAACGATCTGTCAGTACGACCACAGAACGTCTTACAGACTTGTATAAATCTGTCAGTACGACCACAGAACGTCTTACAGACTTGTATACGATCTGTCAGTACGACCACAGAACGTCTTACAGACTTGTATACGATCTGTCAGTACGACCACAGAACGTCTTACAGACTTGTATACGATCTGTCAGTACGACCACAGAACACCTGACAGACTTAAGATAAGATAGGATAACATAACAAAATGCTTTATTATCCCGAAGGAAATTTTCTTTGCACGGTTAACATTGAAGACTTAAGACCAAAAGAAGACCCACACATATGTCAAATATATTTAAGACTTTGAGCTATAGTGGCGACATTAAAAATCTTGCTAAGGAACATTTGCACTAAAAGAATATTAATATAACAGTTTGAAACAATTGATAAATTATTATAAGATGATTGACAAAACTTTGAAATAATGTATTATCTGTCAGTACGACCATAGAACACCTTACAGACTTGTATACGATCTGTCAGTCCGACCATAGAACACCTTACAAACTTGGGTAGCCTAGATCTGTCAGTACGACCATAGGTTGTATACGATCTGGGGCGTGGCCTCGTGGTTAACGCAGAAGACCCGTCACGGTTCGAATCCCCACATGGGTACAATGTGTAAAGCCCATTTCTGGTGTCCCCGCCGTGATGTTGCTGGAATATTGCTAAAAGCGGCGTAAAACCAAACTCAGTCAGTCAGTCACTATACGATCTGTCAATACCACCACAGAGCGCATTATAGACTTGTGTACTATCTGTAGATTAAGCATTAGAGACTTGTAGCCGAGATGCATCTAGTACTGTTTGTATGGACACACAGGCACTCGGACTTGGCCTCCCTGAGCAGCGCCATTGCCAGAATCCAGAAGACCGGACAGACCACAAACACAGCGGCCGCTATTGATGTTGTGACGTCATCAATATTCACGGCCAGTGAAGGCGCCCGTGCTAACGCGAAGAGAGTGACCGTCCTGCTGACCGATGGTGCTTCAGGCGATCGTCCTGCGACCGTTGCTGCCGCTCAGAAGGCCAAAGACAAAGGTGTGATCATGTTCACCGTTGGGGTAGGCAGTGTTAACGAGGAGGAACTCAACAACGTCGCCAGTCAACCCAGTTGCACCCATTTCTACAAACTCAACAGCTTCGGGGAGATCGACCACCTGGTGTATGACATCAAGAAGCGGTCGTGTACAGGTAAGCGGTGTCAGGAGTCTGAGCAGGAAGACTTTATCATTGTCTTACTTTCTGAGCAGATGGATATAGGGTTGCTGACAGTCTGAACAGGTACACGTTGGAATTTTTTGACTGTTTGAGCAGGTGAACGTAAGCGTTACCTGGTACTTAGATAAGGGAGACATAAGCATTGTCTGAGGTAAGCATTGTCCGGTAGCCTGATCTGGTTGACATAAGCATTGTCTGAGGTAAGCATTGTCCGGTAGCCTGATCTGGTTAACATAAGCATTATCTGAGGTAAGCATTGTCCGGTAGCCTGATCTGGTTGACATAAGCATTGTCTGAGGTAAGCATTGTCCGGTAGCCTGATCTGGTTGACATAAGCATTGTCTGAGGTAAGCATTGTCCGGTAGCCTGATCTGGTTGACATAAGCATTGTCTGAAGTAAGCATTGTCCGGTAGCCTGATCTGGTTGACATAAGCATTGTCTGAGGTAAGCATTGTCCGGTAGCCTGATCTGGTAGACATAAGCATTGTCTGAGGTAAGCATTGTCCGGTAGCCTGATCTGGAAGACATAAGCATTGTCTGAGGTAAGCATCGTCCGGTAGCCTGATCTGGTAGACATAAGCATTGTCTGAGGTAAGCATTGTCCGGTAGCCTGATCTGGTAGACATAAGCATTGTCTGAGGTAAGCATTGTCCGGTAGCCTGATCTGGTTGACATAAGCATTGTCTGAGGTAAGCATTGTCCGGTAGCCTGATCTGGTAGACATAAGCATTGTCTGAAGTAAGCATTGTCCGGTAGCCTGATCTGGTTGACATAAGCATGGTCAGACAATTTGGGGCACACAAAAACGTTGTCCGGCCGTCTCAGAAGGCGTGAGAACTGTCCGGCAGTCTGAGCAGAAGAAACCCATACACGTTTACCGTTTTGAACAGGTAGAGGTAAGGCTTTTAGTCGTTATTACCTTCTGCTACCCTTATAGCATCATGTTTCATAGGATCTAAGGGGGCCACCTCTTCGAAAAACCATGATTTTCGTCTTGCTTATGTTTACTTTCATTGGGTTCGTAGAGGCAGTTACAGGTAAGATCGTTAATCGGAAATATCGTCCATAAAAAGACTATTTATGAATATCGATATGAAAATATTGTCAGCGATAATGACATGACAGAGTAAAGTTTTAATTTACTCATGCAAATTAGGTTTAAATTCAGGGGTTGTTTCTAAGTTATGTTCGTGTTTTGTAAGTAACCCATGTGTAAACCTTGCACCGCTCACGACTGGAGAGCGATATATTCATTTCTGTCAGACTATTTGGTCATTTTTGCTTAAAGTTACTTCTCAGACATTTATCGATAATGGATCGATATTTGGTTAACTATTATCGCTATCCATGATATATATTGATAGGGAGCCTAGTTACAGATACGGTTACAGACATGTGTCTTCCCTCTGAACACAACACCGACGTCAAACAGCACTGGTACTTTGTGCCTGGCAACACGAAAATGACTGAATGAGTGAGTGAGGTGGGTTTTACGCCGTTTATAGCAATACTCCAGCAATATCACAGTTGGGGACACCAGGAATATGCTTCACACATTGTAGCCATGTGGGGATTCGAACCCGAGTTTTCGGCGTGACGAGCAAACGCTTGAACCACTGGGCTACCCAACCGCCCGCTATGTTTGTTTGCTCACTTGATGAATGACGACATGCGTGATACCCTTGATGCATGTGTCACACACTGGGGTGTGAGTGCGACTGATGTGTAACAGCTGACTATTGCAGATGAACAAAGCTTAGTAATACGCACAATACGCACTATGTACGCACAATATATCGGCGTATCAAGATGCACCTACACAGCTCTTGAACTCGTACCTGTTGCCAATCCATTTCAGCCCCTAAAGTTATATCAGCAACGTCCGATGATGACACGCCCTCCTCCGTGACCACGCCCCTCAGCATTGACCCTGTGAGGAACACCTACGTTCTTCATCCAAACAATTCCGTCTCGCAGTCGGGAACGGAGAAAGTTATTGTGAGTACATCCGTGGATTACTTCTACCTCTGCTTCTGATACCGCACTGTTTTGTATTCGTGCTGTATAAATGATCACACCAGATACCCCCACAAGCTCTTGTATAAGTAAATTAGGCTCTTGTAAATTTATGCTTTATTGTAAATGGACTGTTATGTGTTCCATGTCCTGATACACTTGTATAAGTATTCCGTACTGTACCGGATAGAGAATATATACTAGCCACATAAGGAAACTGTGCACACAGAAAATTCCTTCAGAATGGGAATACAACACAGCTTTCGACAGTGACTGCCATTTCAGAGTTTCACATGTTGTGTGCAGCTGCACGGGCTGCACGTACAGTAACACATTGCAAGTCGATAGGCCACCATCAATGACGTGACGTCGCCTGGCACGTGCATGAGCGTTTGATTGTCTCTGTTACGTGCTATGTTCACACCTGTATTTATGTATAAAGACGAGTTGTGCCTATATTTATATTTTCTGTGTGCAGTTCCTTTATGTGACCAGTATATAATATAATATTTCTGTAATAACTACCTACAGCATAGGTTTTGAGGCGTGACGCAACATGATAATTGTCAGCTAGATTGTATAGGATTGCCCTGCAGGGGGTCTGGACGATTATCTGTCATGGTCCCAGGTAGATTATCTGGTAAACTGACTGGTAAATTATGATTACACAATGCCACTTAGAAAGTGGTGAAATATAACGTATGCTATATGTGGGATTACACTTTACAGATTTTAATAATTTTGTAGGTTGAATCCTAATCACCATCATACAAAGACAGCGATCTAACCCCCTCAGCCAGCTTCCACTAGATAGCTTATCAGATTAGCGGCTAGACTGACTAATAGATAGCCTGGTAGATTAACGGCTAGACTGACTAATAGATAGCCTGGTAGATTAGCGGCTAGACTGATTAATAGATTGCCTGACCCAGATTGTCAGGCCAGGCTGACAGAAAATCTCCCGACATCGGCGTACAACCCTACGTTATGTTACAGAAAACTGATGTAGAATGTGGTATCCTGAATGTATACGCCTCCTATGACACGCCCAACCCTGGCCCAGCGTTCTACAGCGTCACGTCGCAGGTGGTGGACGGGCGACCTTCCATTATGAAGGTCAACACTACCAGGGAAGGGAGACCACTCTTTGTGACCGTCATTGGCACCAAGCTTCAGGAGTCTTGCTCCGATATCTTGAAGTGCCGGGATGCCAAGTTCTCCCTTAGTGTAGAAGATGCCCCTGTAACTTCTGGTACTTCATAAGTTTTTCCAGCGATAGCACCATAGTTTTCATTGAGAGTAATCTTTCTATTACTGAAACATCTCGTGAAGATCCGGCTTAGAATTGATCTTTAGTAACTCATGTTTGTCGTAAGAGGCGACTAACGGGATCAGGTGTCAGGCTCGCTGATTTGATTGACACATATTATCATATACCATTTGCGTAGATCGATGCTGTTGATCACTTGACTGTCTGGTCCAGACTCGATTATCTACAGACCGCTGTCATATAGCTGGAGTATTGCTGGAATAAGTGCAGCGTAAAACTAAACTCACTCATTACTCACTCACTATTACTGAAATATACTATACTGTTCACCATTTTGTACACATATGATATAGTTGTCTGCAACAGTCACACCTGGTTACAGTTGCTGAGGTGCTGTGTCGTACTTGGGAGGGGGAACGCACGTGCACAGAAGCTGACCTGGTCAACAACGGATTCCTCGTCCCCTCGTGTCCACGTAAGACCTCAGGCCATGCTATTCAGAGCATTGGGTGAATGGCGCTGCGAGTTTCGAGTCTAAATAGATTATGTGTCTCCTAGCGAGAGACATTGGATATCATTCACGGGGATGTTTGACATTACCTACGAGAGATTTGGGACATCTTGTATGAGGCACATCAGATGTTTCCTACCAGAAACTGTTTTGGACAACGAGTTTAGGGACACTGCACAATGACCACAAGGACTTTTGACATTACTTACGAGTGGCTATATATATTCATTAAGAGAGACGTCAGGATAAGGCGTTAGAAATTATTCACAAGGGACGTCGGACATTATTCACGATAGATAGCAGGAAGTATTCACGAGGAGATTTAGGTATAAATCAGAAGGGGCTTTATACATAGCTCAGGTCAAGCTTCAGACATAACTCAGAAGGGGCTTTATACATAGCTCAGGACAAGCTTTAGACAAAACTTAAAGGGGCTTTAGATATAGCTCAGGTCAAGCTTTAGACATCACTCAGAAGGGGCCTTAGATATAGTTCAGGTCAAGTTTTAGACATAACTCAGAAGGGGCTTTAGACTTAACTCAGCTTCAGACATAACTCAGAAAGGGCTTTAGACATAGTTCAGGTCAAGCTTTAGACATAACTCAGAAGGGGCTTTAGACATAGTTCAGGTCAAGCTTTAGACATCACTCAGAAGGGGCTTTAGACATAGTTCAGGTCAAGCTTTAGACATAACTCAGAAGGGGCTTTATACATAGCTCAGGTCAAGTTTTAGACATAGTTCAGGTCAAGCTTTAGACATAACTCAGAAGGGGCTTTAGACATAGCTCAGGTCAAGCTTTAGACATAACAGAAGGGGCTCATAGCAAGCTTTAGACATAAGTCAGAAGGGGCTTTAGACATAATTCAGGTCAAGCTTTTGACATAACTCAGAAGAGGCTTAAGACGTAAGTCAGATGGAACTTTAGACATAAGTCAGAAGAGGCTTCAGACGTAAGTCAGATGGAACTTTAGACATAAGTCAGAAGAGGCTTAAGACGTAATTCAGATGGAGCTTTAGACATAACTCAGAAGAGGCTTCAGACAATATTCACGAGACGAGAGACATGAGATAATGTTCACGAGGGACGTTAGACATAAATTGCTTTAGACATCAGACACTATTTAAAAGATACTTTAGATGCCATTAATGGGGGATGGTCGAGAGTATTCGGCATGTCTTTTACACCAGGTATTGGCAGGATTCGCGAGAGACGTTCCGTATCTTCTGACATTGCACGTGTGGAAGGTTTCCATGTCGCGGTGATGTACAACTCAGCAGCTGATGACTTCATGCATAGACATCTGTCGCTCCAAGAGAGAAAAAACAAACAAAAACAAACAAAAACAACACGCACTAAGAGTCGGCCCAATATAGGCTAACACGAACCCTGTGTTCATATGAGGTAATTTAGTGAATGAAGAAAGGATGATAATGTTGTCATGTACGGAGCGTGCTGACGTCATACTATTCCCCAGCACTGGAGGTCGCTTAGATACACATGTGCCAATTCATTAAGTTTAAATTCTCGAACTTTAACGCAATTATGGTAACATTGACATGATGTAGAACCCAGGGCGCTACACTCACCCCGGGATGGGACAGACTTAAGATGGTCACGCTCGGTGAAGTGACTCATGCAATACTCTTTGCGTCCTTCATGTTAGGACATTGTGTGATAATGAATGGATGGTTCTGTTACTGCCACTAGCTGCAAACCCCCAGAACAAAAGGCCAGAAGAAATTCATACAGGTTACGTTCAGAGTTAGGGTTCTGTGATTGATATCGCCCCATACGTATATACATAAACATATACAATATCTACATGTTAACTACGTCAGTGCTTGTACTTCAGCAACCACCAGCACCGTGGACCTCCAGGAACCTATCATCTCCAACCCCTGCATCAGCGACGTCACCACGGCGAGCAACGGCTTCCAGCCTCATCCCACCGACGCCACCAAGTTCATCGTCTGTGACATCAGAGGAAACATGTACATCACAAACTGTCCCAGCGATGGGATATTTAACAGTAGATCTAACACTTGTAACAACGCTCCAGTGTTCTCCCTCGCCGACACCGTTATCTACGCCGACCCCAACCTCGACTACATCTGTAACGACATGCTGGTTCCCAGCAAAATGCACTTCCCCCACCCTACGAACAAGGCACTGTACATCCAGTGCAGTTTGCTGAGCGTCGCTTTCGTCAGACCATGTGGCAACGGGACCGTCTACAATGATGACATTCAGAACTGCGCAGACGTCGCCTCCGACCCTGTGAAAGTCAAGGTTGCTGAGAATCCATGTAAGACCGCACGTGTTGGCTCCCTGCACGCCCACTCCGATCCCAAAAAGTTCCTTCAGTGTACTTCCTTCGCCTCGTACGCCATCAAGTCATGTGGGATGGGTACCCGGTGGGATGATGTTTTGAAGACATGCGGCTGGTAATGGCAGTAGCACACGGAAAGACAACAGAAATACCAGCAAACTTGGCCTCATAGCAGAAACATCGTCACATCGTCAGAACATCCTACAACATGACGACATCTTGTATTGGTGATATTTGTTCAACATTTTATCCGTTGTAATTAACCTTAAATACACCATGCCACTATCGCTACTAACGTTGTTGTTTTATTGCCTGGACTGTGGCTGCCGCAGACAAAAGGACGTAAAGAACAGTGTTGTTTGTTGATTCATATTACAACAACACATGTGGTTTGTGGCTGGGGCACAGCTCTCTCAAACAACATATAACCACTTGCCCTAACAAAAGCCCAAACACAACCCAAACATACATCTCAACACACACACCAACACACACCACCAACACACACACCAACACACATCTCAACACTCACACCAAAACACACACCAACACACACCAACACACACACCAACACACATCTCAACACTCACACCAACACACACCAACAAACACACCAAACACACACACACGAAAACACACAAACACACCAAAAACATCCCAAAACACACACCAAAACACACCCAAAACAAACACCAACACACACCAAAACACACACAAGCACACACCAAGACACACACACCCCAACACATCAAAACACACACCAGCACAAAAAAACACATATCAGCACACACACACGAACACACACAACCCAGCACACACCAGAACACATCCCATCTCAACACAACCCATCTCAACACATTCCAACACACACACCAGAACACATCCCATCTCAACACATCCCAACACACATCCCAACACACACCAGAACACATCCCAACACACATCCCAACACATCCCAACACACACACCAGAACACATCCCATCTCAACACATCCCAACACACATCCCAACACACACCCCAAAACACACACCAGAACACATCCCATCTGAACACATCCCAACAAACATATCCCAACACACACACCAGAACACATCCCATCTCAACACATCCCAACACACACCCCAAAACACACACCAGAACACATCCCATCTCAACACATCCCAACACACATCCCAACAAACATCCCAACACACACCAGAACACATCCCATCTCAACACATCCCAACACATACCCCAACACAACACACCAGAACACATCCCATCTCAACACATCCCAACACACATCCCAACACACACACCAGAACACATCCCATCTCAACACATCCCAACACACACATCCCAACACACACCAGAACACATCCCATCCTCAACACATCCCAACACACACACACCAGAACACATCCCATCCACTAGAACACATCCCATCCCAACACACATCCCAACACACACCAACACACACACACAAACACATCCCATCCCAACACACATCCCACACATCCCAACACACACAACCAGAACACACACACCAGAACACATCCCATCTCAACACATCCCAACACACACATCCCAACAACACACACACCAGAACACACCCATCCCATCTCAACACATCCCAACACACATCCCAAAACACACACCAACACACATCCCATCTCAACACATCCCAACACAAACACATCCCAACACACCCATCCCAACACACACCAGAACACATCCCATCTCTAACACATTCCAACACATATCCTAAACACACACCCAAACATACATAATTAGAATATATCTCTATTCTTAACATATCTCTAACACATACTTCTAAAGTAAACATACTAGAATATATCTACATATTCTAACATATCTCTAAATACATATCTTTGAACACATCCTATTACAACATATCCCATCTCTAACACATATCCTAACATACATACTAACATACATACAATTCTAACATCATTTAAAATATATCCTAACACATATCTCTAACACATACTAGAACACATCCTATTCTAACACATCCTAACAATACATCTCTACATACTAGAACATATCTCTATTTAAATACATATCTCTAACATATATCCTAACACATATTCTAAATACATACTAGAATAGAACATATCTCTATCTCTAACATATCCTAACACATACACTAACACACACTAGAATACATCTATATCTCAAACAAATCTCTAACATACATACCTAAACACATACTCTAGAACACATCTCTAATACATCATATCTCTAACACATATCTAAAATACAATAATCCTAAATACATACTACTAGAATATATCCTATCTCTCAACATATCCTAACATATATCCTAACACACACCATAGAATACATCCTATTCTAACATATCCTAACACACACACTTCTTAACACATACTAGAACATATCTCTATCTCTAACACATCCTAACATATATCCTAACATAACACATACTATACTAGAATACATCTATCTCTAACATATCCTAAATACACACCCTAAATACATACACACTAGAATACATCTCATTCTAACATATCCTAACACATAATTTCTAAATACATACATAGAATATTATCTTAACATCTCTAAACATATCCTAAATATATATCCTAACATACACTAGAATACATCCTATTCTACATCCTATCTCTAAATACATCCTAACACACACTTCCTAATACATACTAGAATATATCTAATTCTAACATATCTCTAACACATATCCTAACTACATACTCCTAACATACACACTAGAACATATCCTATTTTAACATATCCTAACATAACTAGAATATATCTCTAACACACACTAGAACACATCTCTATCTCTAACATATCCTAACACACATACTAAATACACACCACTAGAATATATCCTATTCTAACATATCCTAACACATATCCTAACATACAATAATACATAGAATATATCCTATTCTAAACATATCCTAACATATACACTAAATACATAATTAGAATACATATAGAATCTATATCCTAATACATATCCTTAAATACATATCCTAACATCATATAACACATCCTAACACACAATAGAATACATCTCTATCTTAACATATCCTAACACATATCCTAACACACACTAGAATACATCTCATTCTAACATATCTCTAACATATCTCCTAACACACACACTAGAACACATCCTATCTCTACATATCCTAACATATATCCTAACATACATATCCTAACATACACACTAGAATAATATCTCTATCTCTTAACACATCCTAACATACATCCTAACACACACTCCTAAAACACACATACTAGAATACATCTCTATTCTAATACATCTCTAACATATATCTCTAACACATACACTAGAATACATCCTATCTCAACATATCCTAACACATATCCTAACACACACTAGAATACATCCTATTCTAACATATCTCTAACACATATCTCTAACACATACTAACTAGAATAACACATATCCTATCTCTAACATATCCTAACACACATCCTAACACACTAGAATACATCTAGAATTAACATATTCCTATCATATATCTAACACATATCCTAACATATAATTCATAATACATACACAATTAGAATACATCCTATCTAAACATATCCTAAATACATATCCTATACACATATCCTAACACACATACTAGAACATATCCTATCTCTCAACATATCCTAACACACACACCTAACAACACACACTAGAATACATCTCTATCTTTAACATATCTCTAACACATATCCTAACACACACTAGAATACATCCTATCCACAACACATCCTAACACATCTCTAACATATAATTCCTAACATACAATTAGAACATATCCTAACATATCTCTAACATATCCTAACATATCCTAACACACATCTCTCTAATACACACTAGAACATATCTATCTTAACACATTCTAACACATATCTCTAACTAACACAACATATCCTCTAATACACCTAACATACACAAATACTAGAATATATCTCTATCTCAACACATCCTAACACACACACCTAACATACACTAGAACATATCCCATCCTAACATATCCTAACACACATCCTAACACACACTAGAATACATCCTATCACTCAACATATCCTAACACATACCTAACACATACACTAGAACACATCCTATCTCTAACACATCCTAACACACATATCCTAACACACACCTCTAACATACACATTAGAACACATCCTATCTCTAAACATATCCTAACACACGACCTAACACACACTAACACATCCTATCTCAACACATCCTAAATACATATCCTAACACAACATAACACACACTAAACACATACTAGAACATATCCTTCTAACACATCCTAACACACATCCTAACACACACACTAGAATACATCCTATCTCTAACACATCCTAACACACACACCTAACATACACACTAGAACACATCCTATCTCTAACACATCCTAACACACATCCTAATACATACCTAACATACACTACTAGAACATATCCTATCTCTAACACATCCTAACACACACCCTAACACACACACTAGAACACATCCTATCTCTATCATCCTAACACACATCCTCACACCTAACATACATCCTATCTCTAAACACATCCTAACACACACACTAGAACACATCCCATCTCAACACATCCTAACACACATCTCTAGAACACATCACAATTCTAACACATACTACTAGAACACATCTCATCTCTAACACATCCTAACACACATCCTAACATACACACACACACCCTAACATACACCCTAACACATCCTACTAGAACACATCCTAACACACACCCTAACACACACACCAGAACACATCCCATCTCAACACATCCTAACATACACACCTAACACACACACTAGAACACATCCTATCTAACACATCCTAACACACACCTAGAACATCACTTCTCACAACACATCCTATCTCAACACATCCTAACACACATCCTAACACACACTAGAACACATCCTCCCATCTCAACACATCCCAACACACATCCCAACACACACCCTAACAACACATCTAGAACACATCCCATCTCAACACATCCCAACACACACACCCTAACACACACACCAGAACACATCCCATCTCAACACATCCCAACACACACCCCAACACACCCACACATCACCAGAACACATCCCATCTCAACACATCCCAACACACACATCCCAACACACACCCTAACACACACACACTCCAGAACACATCCCATCATCTCAACACATCCCAACACACACCCCAACACACACCACAGAACACATCCCATCTCAACACATCCCAA